ATAAAGGGAGTGTGCAATGCCATTTTTATGCAATTCTGGGATTTTTTTAAACTGAAAATAGGTCGATGTGTACATGGATACTGAGTATGTGCAATTCTTAAAAGTGGTATGTGCCAGTAGTGGACGATTCTGCACTTTCCCCTCATAATTAATAACACCGTCCTACTTATCCATCTCTGTTGAAGAGATTGAGAAATACAAGATTCTACCAGATGTATTGTTGAGGAAAATAATTAAGCATAATTCTCACAACGTATGAGTTGCCTTTTTCTCATTATATTAAGTGTGCTTTAAATTCAGTACTCTGTAGGTCGTAATAAGTGCTTTGTGTGTGTAATTTTTTTCTATTTTTAAAATGTATAATGATTTGGTATGTATGCATTGATAAATTGAATTTTTGGTTATTTAAAATTTTATCCAACTTTCATAAATTCTGGCTTATTAAAGTTTGATTATAATAATATTACATAATTGAATGTTGCATACAAGTAGAAATCTTGCCTTTGTATTTTATTTTGTTCATCAGGGCTACATTAACCATTGAGCAATGTAAGCATGTATTTAAGGCATCAAGGAAAGGGGCCCCCAAAAATTTCTCATTGTGGGTTTTACCATGGAATGCATGATGAAGCTAAATCAAAATCGGCAGAGAGAAGAAGTGAAGAAAAACAACTGGTGTAAGCATATGTGGAAGAACCAAAATCTTTCAAGTGCTTAGAACCTCTAAAAATCTTAATCTGGCTCTGTTGTTCGTTGAGAAAAACTAATTAGATATAAAAATTCTTTTTATTTCATATTTTCATGGGTTTCTTATTGATTTTCTGATGAATACAGTATCTTTTTAGAAAGTCCTGCATGAAAGTAGCATTCTGCCAAAATATTTACACCTATTCAGTTAAAGCTAGAATAGAGTTCAAGAATGTATTTTGAGTAATTAATTCAGTGGTGCATGTAATAACATTGTAAGTGCTATCTTTTATGTAATTACTATGAATTATCTGGTTGTAACAAAAGTTTTCCGCCAAAGAAATGTTCTTAATAAAGTCAGAACAGAAAACATGAAAGCAGTACCTTTAGTGCAGGTAAGTAATCACCACCCAAATCTATGATTTTCTTCCAACATGTTGGTAGCTTTTCAAAGCCTTCATCCCAGAAACTTGAAAGCAGATCAACCTCATTTTGAACATCCTGTGCAGAATGGAAGATAGCACTTGCAAGATGTACCTGCAGATGTGTAAACAGGTAGAAGTTCAAAGGAGTGATGTTGGAGCTAAATAGTGGGTGTGGCAAAAGATCCCTTCGAGTCCGTACACTCTGCTAGCCAAATTACGCTTATGCTAGAACTTTTATGGAACAAAAGTGGGTTGATCTTTACATTATGGTAACTTAGCGTTTTTTTGGCAAAAATTTGGCGACCAACTATCCTACGGCAACCCTCTATTTTTTTTTTCCTGCCGCCATTTTGTCTTCACGAAGTAAAGACATGTTTCTTTTCTTTTTATCTACTGAACACTTCTTCCAACAATCTACTAGCCGAATTACACTTATGCTAGAAATTTTATCTAACAAAACTGCTTAATCATGATAAATATTCACTGCAAAATTGGGAAAAAGTGCACAATACCATACTCCTTACGCATTTTTCAAAATAACACATACACATAAACCATGTACACGCCAACTTATTTTTACTTAAAAAAAATATCCCAGAATTGCACAAAAATGGCATTGCGCACATTCTTCACTATATCCATGTACACTGCTTTTTTCTCATAAATTAGAAAAATTTCACGAAAATACATGACAATTTTCTCAATCTTTAAACCCGGTAAAAAGAACATATATGAAATTACCTGATCGCGAAAAAGTATTTACCCTTTCCAAATATGAACATTTCCACATATAAAATAAATAAAATATCCAAAAACTTTTACCTCTAAATCATCTATTACATTATACACGTCACCAACGAATTCGTACCGCAAGCATTATAAATACTTAGTATCAAATATTTAAATTATTTCCATGCACGTTTACTTCAACTTTAAACGTGTACCAAATTCCTGCAAACATAAAATTCACAAAATAACTATCATTTAATTAAAATATCACTAAACCATGTACACGTCGACTTATTTTTACTTAAAAAAAATATCCCAGAATTGCACAAAAATGGCATTGCGCACACTCTCTTCACTATATCCATGTACACTGCTTTTTTCTCATAAATTAGAAAAATTTCATCACGAAAATACATGACAATTTTCTCAATCTTTAAACCCGGTAAAAATAAACATATATGAAATTACCTGATTGCGAAAAGTATTTACCCTTTCCAAATATGAACATTTCCACATATAAAATAAATAAAATATCCAAAAACTTTTACCTCTAAATCATCTATTACATTATACATGTCACCAACGAATTCATACCGTAACCATTACAAATACTTAGTGTCCAGATATTTAAATTATTTCCATGCACGTTTACTTCAACTAAAACGTATACCAAATTCCTACAAACAAAAATTCACAAAATAACTATCATTTAATTAAAATATAATTAAATTCAAAAACACTACTTAAAATATAAATGAGCACATACATTAAATTAATACATACATAAATACCCCATTTCGAATTCACTTTAGTTACGGCCATGGGATCCAAAAATTCACGAACACTGTTTCACACACAACACGGAATAAAAAGCCAAAAAAATACAAAATTTCCAGATTTTTTTTCCCGATTTCCCCCCTTTTCCGATTAAAGAACCGTAATTCGTCCATTAATATCACATGACATATCCCATGATCTCTCATTTCCCTCTCACACAAATAATATGCGTAATCGGAACTGAGTACTGCTCACATTATTACCAAAGTCCGAGGTAGTAACCTTTATCGCCTCCAAAATGTCGCCAAACTACCAGTTACCATATTGTAAAGATCAACCCAAAAGTGCTTAATCATGACGAAGATTAGATGCGAAATTGGGAGAAAGTGCAGAATTGCCCACTGCTTGCGGCGTTTTTAAGAATTGCACGTACATGGTATCCATGTACACGTCAACCTGTTTTCACTTAAAAAAATCCCAGAATTGCACAAAAATGGCATTGTGCACACTCTTGACTTTATCCATGTACACTAGCAGTGTACAAGTCCTAGCTAGTAACCTTTATCGCCTTACCAAAATGTCGCCAAACTACCTGTTACCATATTCCAAAGATTAGTCCTTACATTCTGTAGCTGACATTTTGCAATGGAACTAAAATTAGATAATGGTTCTAATCTGGTAGCATTATAGTTCCATTTCAGACACCTTGTACTTAATGATAATGGTATTTTTTTACAAATTTCACAGTACAATAAGCAAGTCATTTTTTTTTTTTTTTTTTTTTTTTCTAAATGCCAAAAATCATTTGACAAAATGTGATTAAACATGCCAATGCAAACTGTTTGTGGTGGTGGGAAACTTTTGTTAAAACTCAATAATATCTATTCCTGTAATAAGCTGTTATGGAAAGGAGAAAATAAAGTCATGCAATTGAAGTGTATTCTAGAATGTGCCTGCTTCTAGCTATTTGAATTGTGGCAATGCATACAAGAACTCTCTTTCTAAAAGGAGAGATGTCTTCATGAAGGAATTTTGGGTATTTGTTTTAACGCAACCTCCTTGGTACAATTTGACTTTTGGTTACAGATGAAAAAAAATAATTACTCATGTCAGCATTCAGTTCAACTTCTGAAATTTTACTTATTGTACTTATAAATATTATTAAATATGTGTTTTACATTCTAATCAGATATTTATGTTAACGATCTGTAAATAAATTTAATTACAAATAATTTTTATTTCTTTTGTTCTGGAGAAAATATAGTGGTAATTGCTTTAACAAATTCAAAACAGCTCTTTCCTTTAGTGATTTTGCAACTAATTACTACTTTCTTGCAGAAATTTTAGGACAGTTTCTTCTGTTGCTGTCATTTTCTACAAATGGATATTTTAAAATTGAGTGTAAGACAAAAAAATGTCATGATTTATATAAAAAAACCATTGAACTTGGAGTACAATAAAAAGAATACATATGAAAATGGTCATGACTACCTGAAGAATGTTTTATGTGAATGATTGCCAGAATTTTGCTCATTCTGAAAATCTGGCAACTTCTACTAAGGTGGTTGTGTTAATATGTAAGGGAAATTGTCATTTACATTGCACATGGAAAAGACTATGAAAGCTTTTCTCAGCAAATAGGCTTCCATGCAGCAAGCCTATTTGCTGGGATTTAAAACTTTGTCCAACTACCAGTATTTATTGATTTTCTTACTCAACTGCTGGTAGCACTGTCTCTTTCTTGGTTTTTCAGTTGTGTAGATAAAGGGAGAGTATTGTCTACTGCAGCACATTTTTTTTTTTTTTTTTTTTTTTTTTTGGAGCATTTTTTAGGAATGCATTATGTATAACTATGAGTTATGAAATAGTATCTAATAATATCCTGGACAATTATGCTAACAGAGAAGCAAGAAAAATAACATTTTGGAACATCAGAATTAAAGGTTTCTTTCAAAAATAAATACAGTATTTTAATTTATTTGCTTGTATATTATTTTGACATATTGAAGCATTCTTGATGATTCGGTAACTACTTTGCATGGAAATAGCTCCTGTTATTCCACTGGTCATTTTACTGTATTTGGAAAATAAAGGAGATTTTAATAACATTAATTAATCACAGTTTACTCTTCATGTTGAGTTGTTAGAAAAAAACAGTATTTACTGTAACTGAAGTTGAATATTCTCTAGGTTTATGAAAATTTGTTGATTATCGTTCCTTATAATCTGATGTATAAATTTTAAAATCTCTGAAATGGTAAAATTATTTTTTATTGTTGCCAGTGTGTTAAATTTGTAATTTATCATATGATTAAAATATTGTTAAATAATTGTATTTCTAATATTTTTACATATTCTGATTTTTCCCTCCTATCCTTCTAGGCCTTTGAAGATGCACTGGATGGCTTACACATGTAAGTATGCACATGAAATAATTCAATTAATTTGAGAAAATTTGAGAAATACAGAAAGCAGCAATCTATCACTTCATTGTTTTTGCTTGGACAATGATTTATGACATAAGGTGAAAGGTAACGAAAAATTGGTTTCAGTGATGATGCAAATGTATTGCTTGTAATTAAAACTATGTTGAGTAGTAATATCTTTATATAAAAGAAGAATCACTTCAACTTCATAGTAAGTTCAGACAATCTGTATCAGTTGATAAAAAAAAAAAAAAAATTAGGCTCATTTTACAAATTGCCATCTGAATGTTTTTGTTCTTCTTATTTCTGTAGAAAGTACTAATTTTTAACAGTAAAAATTGAAAAAAGTATCCTTAGTTTATTCTAAGATTATTATTTTAGCTACAAAATTATTTATATTAAGAAAGACAAGTATGGGTCTTCAAAAATTCGTTTTTTGGCTATCTAATACTATTCAATCGTCTAACAGTTGATGCAGTTGCTGTAGTTCATATATTTAATACTATGGTTAGAAGATCAAATTTGGACTCAAATATGAATGTAATTTTAATGTTTAAGTCAACTTTTCCTAAAATGTTAGTTTCTATTGAAAAAATATTTTAATTGAGGAAAATTTGAGAAATACAGAAAGCAGCAATCTATCACTTCATTGTTTTTGCTTGGACAATGATTTATGACATAAGGTGAAAGGTAACGAAAAATTGGTTTCAGTGATGATGCAAATGTATTGCTTGTAATTAAAACTATGTTGAGTAGTAATATCTTTATATAAAAGAAGAATCACTTCAACTTTATAGTAAGTTCAGACAATCTGTATCAGTTGATAAAAAAAAAAAAATTAGGTTCATTTTACAAATTGCCATCTGAATGTTTTTGTTCTTCTTATTTCTATAGAAAGTACTAATTTTTAACAGTAACTCATGCATGTAAAACATTCTGAAAATCTATTCATTGTATCTTTATGTCTGAGATTCGTTTGTTTTTAAATCTTCTTTTTTTTTAACCTTAGGTGTGGTTATATTTTAACGTATTATAGTATATATATATATATTCCTTTTTTCAAATTCATTACAATAATGTATTACTTAAAGAAAGCACGCTATAAATTTGATTCTTATGGGCTATTAACAGTGGCATAGCTAGAACTTTTGCTGTCTGGGTTCTACTTAAATTTGTTACCTGCTTTGATATACAAACAAATAATTACAAAAATATATTAAGATGATTATATAAAAAATAAAGGTGTTCTATTGTTATCGGGACTGGATGAGAAATGTGTGTATGGATGTATGTGTTCATGTATGCTTGTATATATGTATGTACGTGCATATATTATATGCATATATTTGTGTACACACATATATGGACACACATATATGGACGCATACATATGGGAATATAGACATATATTTTTGTATCCACTCCTGATAACAGAAGAGTACCTAAATAAATTCAGACTTTAATATTTTTGTAGAAATTTTTGTAAAAAGAACTTTAAATTGAATAATATATATATATATGTATTTATTGTTCCTTTGCTTGCAAAACCATGAATGACATTATAGATATGTACTTATTTGCTTTTTGCTGTTATGTAAGCAGTAGAGAAAGATTTCTTAAATGTTAAATATACATTTGTAGTTCTGAAATACTTCTTAAATGATTTTTATTTAGAAAATGCTTCTTACAACTAGCAATGTTTACAGCAATTAAGAGGAAAGTTGGCAGTAATACTATGATATTTGGAACTTTATTCTGGAGACTGTATTTAGAATGAACTGGAAAAATTCAAAAAGACTGCATTTCCATGTTTCTGTTCTAGCAATAATGAAATTAAAACTCTCAGATGCTTATTCCATAATGAAATATTCCTCCTTATTGTTGCCAAGATCCTAATTTAGTTCATATTTGTAATTTGCATTAGAAATTTTGGACAGAGTAAAAAAAAAATGACAAAAGTATGTGGCTGTTGAAAAATCACTTAGTGATTTCTTTAGATATTTTGCCTTGAGTATTTCTCTTCTTAATTTAATTCCATATGGCAATATGTAAATGTATGTATGTGCATATATTATGTGTGTACACACATATATGGACACATACATGTGGGATTATATACATACGTTTTTGAATCCATTTCTGATTCTATGGCAATATAGAATTTTTTATTATTTTTCATCTGCCTTGATGATGCACCTGACTAGCCCCTGACAGAAAAATAATGTTTCATGAAAAAATTTCAACCCTTAAAAATGTGTTGCCTGGGCAACCGCCCCCTCCAACCCCATCTAGCTATGCCACTGACTATTAAATACCTCTTCCTTGTTTAATATTTAAAATTAAGCATTCATTGAATATATTTCAGGGTAGTTTATTTGTTATACATGAGTTTATAATTTTGATTTTCTAATTTTCTCGTGTTAAATCATGCTGTGTTTCTAATACTATATTTCCATATCATTAAATGAATTTAAAAAAAAATTTTGTTATTTATAGTGATGGACTTCCTAGTCTGGATGAGTCCATCAAGGAGGCTAAGCAAGCTCTGGATCTTTTTTTCCAGAACAAATTCGCTGCAGCTTTAGATAGCCTCATGGCCTGGTAAGAAGCACTTTTATTTAAACAAGACAATATTTCCATTATAATTATTACTTGAAATACTATGTGCATGATAACTCTTTCTAAGTTTTGTTGTTTTAAATTATATTTTTAAGATGTCATTTTTCCAGTTTTTGCTTATATTATGTATTAACCAAGTAATAGATTCTGTGGATGAATTTCTTTAGTACATTTTTACAAAGGAGAGTTGTATATTCTGTTTACAGATTGATTTTTATGAAAATGTTGAAAAACATGTCTAAAACATTCTAAAGAATTGTTGGGCATAACTCATCATTTTAGGACTTAAATTATTGGCTGGTTAAAAATTGGTGTATATAAATGAGTTTTGTATTAAGAGTATACTTTAATTTTCCAAAGGAAACTAATAAACTTGTTATGGAATTAAAGCAATAAAATCATTGAATTAACATTTCTAAACTTGTTTGTGTAAAGGGAAAACCATCAAATAGTGCTTTTGAATGGGGAAAAAAACAATAAACAAATATCTGAGTAGGATAAGTATACTTTTAGAAATTCAAGAAAATGCTTTGTATGACTATTGACAGTTTTGGAAAATTCTGGTCTTTAGTGGAGAGAATTGCTCGAAAGAGGTGATCTTTAGAACCATTGCTTCTGTATAGTTTAAAAAATCTGATGTGTACACCACATGACTTCCTTGTACGGAATATTAAATTATACGCATTTTTTCTTGCATTTCATTTAAACTTATTGGACTGAATTAAATCATCTACTTTGTTGACAGCAAATAAACCACAATAGAATAAATGCACTCTTTAAAATTCACTATATTTGTTTAGCATAGTGACACTGACGCTAGGTTCACTTAGTATTTCATTCATATTATAAACTTTACCTTCACTCGCATTTGGTACCAACTACTGTGAGTTATCAGCAATAGATCAAGTGGGCCTTAGGCCTTTCACATATGTATCAAAAATAAGATGTACTATACATATTGTAACTCAGAAGGCACAAAATTTATATCATTTGAAGTATTATCTAATAGTTGCCACATGTTCTGTTCAAATACTATAATAAAGCTAGAACGATGTATAAAAGAAATTAAGCAAACAAAACAAAAAAAAGAAGCAGTTTTTCACAGACGATTCAGTATATCTCATTCAATGAATTCAGTTCTCACTTCGCGACAAGGCAAAAATACATAAAAACTCAAAATATCTGTATTAAAAATTACAAAGTAAATCTTAAACACTTATTTTATCGAAAAAATTCCAGAAAGAATTAAGCATGATTTAATTCGCAATAATAAATGACTGCGTTATCTTTGTTGTTGCGAAGCTAAGTTTCTCTAGATTGGCAACAAATCCACTAGTCTGCTGTTTCAAATGTAAACAATCAATGGCCGCCATAAGAAAAGGGCTGAGCGGCACTTAAACAACTTTAAAATTGTTGATAATTCTAAAAATATTGCATACAGATTTACTAAAGGCATAAAAACCTTAACCGGAAGATAATAACAACACAATTCAATTAATTTTAAACAAAAAATGTACAATTTACAAACATATAAGAGTAAAGAAACTGAGATCACTGAGCCGGGTAACAGAGTGGATATATGTATAAATATATTTATATACGTTTAGGTGTGGCCGATTGCAACCAAAATACGAGGTGCACATCTACATGTTATAGCACTCCTATATACAAAATTTCAACGTTCTGAGGCTACTCATTTTTGAGTTATGCGAGATACGTACATATGTACATACGTTCATACAGACGCCACGAAAAATTCTTTTCAGAATTAATTTAAAGCAGTTTTATAATTTTTTTGGAGGAAAAGAGTCTTTTATTCTGTCCTTACGTACAGATGTCACTCAAAAACATCGTTAAATTGCATTCAATAGCTGTCAAAATGGATATTTTTGTTGAAATATGCTGCCTGAAACATTTTGCGATTACAAGACTTCCTTTTTACTTCGTACAAGGAAGTAAAAACAGTACTGATCACTGTATAACTGTTAATGAATAGGAAGTAGTATTAATAAGAAGTTTCTCTCTATTTCAAAATGGTATCTCTAATTAAATGAAATATCATAATATTCTTAAATACCCTTGTATCAACTTGTGGGAAGGGGAGAAAAAAACAAAACATTTGAAACTTAAGAAGTATAATAATGTTCATTGTGTTATAAAATGCATGTTTTAAAACTCTGTCAAATCATTTAGCTGGAGACAATAGATATTTTGTTCCAAAATTAAATAAAAGTTTTGATGAAGGTTTTTTTTTTATTATTTTGCTAACTTGTATTGCTTGAAATAAAAATTAAGAAAAGTTAAAAGGAAAAATTAAAACCAGTTCTTTATATTATAAAAATAATGTTTTTATTCCTATTATTAAAAGAAGAAATTCTCTGTATTCTGGAAATTGTCAACGAGTATTATTTCATCGTGACAGAGCTGCTGGTTATACTTCTAAATCTGTGGCTGTCCTTGAAAATTGATAAAAGTGATAGGTATTAAATGCATATATTTTTGCTTATATTTTTCAAAGTGCCTGTTTTGAATTCACAACAAAGGATTGATTTCTAAAACATTATATGATAAGTGTAAGATAGGTAGTGGAAAGATGTCTCTAACTGGAAAAAAATTGCTTTTTTGTCATGAAGATTGTCATTAATTGATAATCCAGAAAAAATCCTGTCAGACAGAGGATTGAAGATTCAAATACGTGTGTAATGGAGAAAATTTGTACTGCAACATTCAGTGGCATAGGAGAGACATCTGTCCCCAGGCACAGCATCCAAGGGGCGTCAAATTGATGCTAAGAAATTTTTTAATGAAATGTTTTCCATTCTTGGCACACAGAAAGGGGCGCAAATTCTTCAGTTGTCCACGGGTACTGGAAACTCTAGCTACACCTCTGGCAACATTTGTCAGGATTTCTTGACTTTTATAATGTATAGTAACATTTGGTTTTTATATATGCATTCACGTTAATTATTTTCATGATGCTTTTATTTTTATAAATTAAAATATAATTAAGAGAATTTTTTTCCTAATAAATAGAAGACTTTTTTTAAGCATACATGTTCCAGTGGTAAATATAATAGCTAACATTATGTGTTATAAATAGAGTGAACCCTTATATGCTTTTCTGTATGGTTAACAAACTAGCAAATAAACCATATTGAATTAATGATTTACTACTTTGTACCTTAAAAATAATTTTTCTGCTAAAATAAGTACCAGAAAATGTAGTCCTTTGATTTACATGGGGCAGAAAGCTGTTAGTTTGATACTGAAATTAATGTTATATTACCTAATTGAATGGTCAGGCTAGAGAGCAGTCTTCTCAGACTGCTATTATAATTACCAGTGTCAATGTCTGTTTATGTTTTTAGAGGCACCTGTCACTTTCTGAGTGCTTTACTATGTATTTCGAATGCAGCTCCTTCTATTGATTCACTGGAAAGGTAATTTTAATTGTGTGGTATGTTAATAAAACACAAGTAAATTGCAGTTTTACATTTAGTTACATTTAGTATTTTTAGTTTTCTTTATTAGAAAAAAATGCTTTTAATTAGATTTATGAAAAATAAGGAATTTAAGTAAAACATTACTCTAATAAGGGATAAGCATATGTTAGCAATGCTCAATTTGTAAATTAAAGCATCTTTTCTTGATATCTGATATTTTTTAGTTATGATTATTTAGGCAAATTTTGTTAATCTGCTGCAGATAATCTATAATATGAAAGACTTCCTTCTTAAAGAACAAATTGTTATTTAGATAGTAATTTATCAGAAACAACTTTATAACATATATTTATTTTGCAGTTTTAAAAATAAATACTAGATTTTTAGCTTAAATAAATAAATCAGTAGTTGAGGTAAAAAGGCACAATGCAGCTTTACGTGAATATAGACCTTTTAACATTTATTCATTGAACAAAATCACCTTTGTTGATATTGGTGAATATAAAAGCTAACATTTACTAATTGATATAGTTTATTCTGTTAAGAATTTTAATTAATATACTTACTAAAAGAGCATTCTTTTCAAAAATTAAGTATACCTTATACCGGGATTTTTCAAACATTTTTCTTTTATCTCTGCCTATGATCAGATGAAGTTTTCCACAACCCCAGCATTAATTATAATTTGTTACTTAAAAATATTCCCTTCAAGGCTGTTGCCAGCCTCTCTGTTTGTGATCCTAACTCTTGTCATCATCACTGCAAAGCAATTGTTTTCTTCTTATCATTTGAGACTGTATGTTCAAGTCAACCTTCATTCATGTGGTTTTTGTGAAGCAAAACACACTAAATGGAACTGAAGTGAGGGAAAGAAATTAAGCAGAGTTGACCTTTTTTTCCACAGCTGTTATTTCCATGTTTATGAGTCAAATTGTACTGCATAAAATAACCCTGAAATTTCTGTTTTAAAGTCCAGTGTCCTAGTGTATTAATAATGAGGTTTCTAGGACTTGATAAAAAAAAGGAAGCATCCTTTTAAAAATTAACTATGTATCTTATCCATACTAAAGGATAGTAAAATAGTTTTGAAGAATTTTTCAATGTGCAAAATCATAACATTATTTTGATGTACTATAATGCTTTTATAAAAGTACCACTCTATGAGCAATTACTTATTACTATTATTTTTTTAACCCTGTGACCTGTATTAATTTTTATATTAATGCATGCCTTGATTTTTGCAACTTTTTATATAAGAATTAATAATTTAAAGCAATTTCAATAGAATAATTAGCAAAATAACGAGGTGCTTCAAAATGAGATTTTTATATTGTTCAAAAATTCTGCATGACATTCATATTTCCATTAATATATTTTTTAATTAAGTAAAATTAGCAACACAAAACAATAAAATGTGTTTGCAGATCTAAGATTTATCTTATTTGTATTAAAATTAAATTTTAGACATTAATGGATTTTTACAAAATCTTCTAGTCAAAATATTATTTTTTAAATTTTTGTTTCATTTCAGATTATTTAAACTGTATTACGTGATAAGCTATTAATTTGTAAATATTTTATCCCTTCTTATTAAAATAAGTAACTCTTAAAAGTATTAAGTACTCTTTGAAAGGAGTGAATTTATTATTGAATTTTTAAATGTATTTTGCATTACATACATACATGTGTATATATATTTATGTATACATTTTCCTTATAGGTCACATGTCAGTACATACCATGCACTTGGCAAAGGTACTATGCTGTTCATGCAAGCACTTTTGACGATGGAAAGTGTATGTAACTATTATTTTAGGGTACTTATATATTAATGCAACCACCTTTGTGCAATTTGGCAATTTTTTACAGATGAAAGGTTAAAAGTTACTTATCAGGCGTGATTCTCACATCCATTTAAAAAAAAATTTTTTTTAGAAAGCTTCCCAAACTGTAAATATTTATCTCATGATACATTAAAAAAATAAAACAGTTACATTCTTCTTCAAATCTTTTGGTAATTGTTTTTGTGCTATTCTTCTCCTAAAGTACAGTGATCTGTTTTCACTTAAAATAACATCAGAAAATTGCTGGAACTCGATTTCTTGCAATCCTTGGCGTCTGTGTAGGACAGTGGTGTCCAACCTTTGACCTCTTGTGAGCACATTTTGGTCTTTGAGCACATTTCCAAAACATCAGTATTTTTGTTAAACATATTTCCAATATTATGTGTGATACATCTTAAATATTAATTTCGGCAAATGGTTTTGAGATGAATAATAATATTGGTTGAACTTTATGGTAATCAGAGAAGCAGAGTTCAAAATTATTTTTCGGTGCATTTAGGTTTTCCGAGTATTTCTCTGTTTCAGTTGCCTTGTGGTTATTAATATGGCTTGATAAATTCCGAAAATGAGTGAATTTTTTTTCTTTCATCTGATTTATCCACAAATGTTTCTTTATCCGAAAAGCAGTTATAGTCCCAGTCAATTGAAAAAGGGATTTTTCGTTTCCCTGGAGATCTTCATTCAGTTTAGCTGTCATATCCATGAGAAAATACAGATCGGATAACCAATTATTATCTCCAATTCTTTATAATTTTCGTTTCCAGATTCCAAAAACTGCTTTACTAGTAAAAGAAGTTCTACAAATCGTTGAAGTACTTTTCTCCTGCTGAGCCATCTAACATTGGAATGAAGCAATAAGATTCCATATTCACTATAAATTTTATCAGTCAGCAATCAATTATTTTATAATGTCTTGCAAGATATCTCTTATGAATATAAATGCTTACTATATTTTAACAATTAAGAAATATAAAAAAATGGTTATTTTTTAAAAAATTTTTTCCATAGTACCTAATTGGGCTGGCGAGCACATACAAAACGATCAGCGAGCACAAGGTTGGGCACCACTGGTCTAGGAACTGCATTTCCTCATTGTTCCCTTTAGAAAAATTTTAATAAAATTCTGTATTCTTGCGAAAACTTTAATAAAATTCTGTATTCTTGCAAAAATTTTAACTGCAGTTTCTTTCATTGCTTTCAAATTCTGCAAGTTCATATTTTAAAACTAATTTAAAGGCAAAAAATTTCACAATTTGTTTATAAAAAGTGTTGGAGTTTGGAATATAACAAAAAAGAATGCATACAAAAATAGCGATGTTGCTTGGCTGAAGGATTGTTATAAGCACAGTTGCAGGAAAAATGGTTTATGTGTGTGGTTACCAGTTTTGGGCACATTCTGAAAACATCTACTAAGGTGGTTCTGTATATATGTAAGTACCTATTTTTTTGTCAATAAAATAAGTATTATTAATTCAATAAATATTACTGTGCCTTTGTTTTATTTAAACTAATGGGTATAGTTTTACTGTTTTTATGGTTTGAGGTTTTTGGAGAAAGGGGTATGTTTATTATTTTATTTATGATAATGTGTTCTTTGATTATCCATTCTTCTGGTTTCAGTAGAATTGTTGTGTATATTTAACATATTTTATGGTCATTATAATAGCCATAGTGTTCCCTGTTTGAAACATGGAGATGTCCACTTTATAGGCTGTGGCTTTTTCCCCGTTTCCCAAGCTGAAAGAGTGAGAAGTATCATGTGTGATGCCTCTGAAGGCTTATCTACTTCAAAGTTCATTATATTAAGGATCCAATTTCTTTTGTCCTTCCCTTTTAATTTTTGCAGTTTCAAAATTTGGAATGATAGCATTCGCAAATCATAAGCAGAGCCTTACTTTGCTCTGAAATATTCCATATTTTTGCTAGATTTCTTGGAAATATTTTGCTTCATTTTATAGCAATATGCCACAGCAGAAAATAAGACTGAGTGAAGATGAAATATAGAAGCTTTGTCAAGAGTTTATGAAGTGCTAAATTATCTAACATCTCGAAAAGAATATTAATACTAGGTACTGAAGACAGCAACTATGTATGTTTTATCTTTCCCATTCTTTTAAAAATTGTATACACCACACAATTTATCCCTTCTGAAAGTTTTTTGCTATAAAAAATTGCCATAATCTTGCTAATATAGTTAAACACTTTCTCTTATTAAAGCTGTGAAATTAGTTAAGAAACAAACAAAGAGATAAAGAGAATTCTGGAATAATTGTGCTGCTTTCTAGTGTGTACTATTAAATGAGTTAATATTTTAGTGAATTAAATTCATTTTATTATTAATAACTGAAAAATAATAGTATTTGTTAATTTTCAAGAAGCTATGTAAATGTTCCTTGTACAAATATTCCTCTGTTTTCTAATTTTTAAAATTAAAGTATATTATCACTGAGTAGACTTACTTAGAATCAGTTACACCTTTGAATTTTTCTTCCATTGAAAAAAACATACAGCAGTTTGATCAATAATCCCTACATTTCCCTTCTGCTTATGAAATAAATGTACTCTTCGAAGCGTGAAACAAACTACTTACAAGAGCCATCATTACAAATAGCAAGGGGCTTCCTGAAAGAGGGAAAGCATTCAGTGCAAGAAATCCCACACCCCACATCTTTGTAAGGATCTTGCAGATATTTAAGACCCAATCCCAAAAGGTTAACTGCATGTGACAATAGCCAACTTAAGCATATGCTTACCACACACATATTTGACTGTGTGTGGACTTACTTTACTTTGCTTTAATCATCATTATCATCATTTTGCTGAAACAGTTAACACTAACTATAGAAATATAAATACCACCTATGTAGATTTTTGGGTACTTGTTAACAGATAGGAAGTGGATAACTTTGGTCATAATCTGATACAATTAGTTTTTCTTTATTTCAAGTGAAAAATGTTTGGAAATCAGCAGCAGAATACCAAAGCAGGTCGTTTTGATGCCGACGGTTCGACGCCATATTTTTTTTCGTATTTTTATTTATTTTTAGAATAAATATGAAGTAACATAAATAAGTAATATGACTGATTTTTATTTATTGCATTAGCGATTGTTTGCTTGCATATTTGAAATAAATATATGTGCGTATATGTGTGAAAGTGTTCTACATTTTTGTTTGTGTCCCAGATTAGTGAGAAACCCCCTCGCCAACATCAAGGCCCCGGGACATAAGGGAGGGTTTTTTTTTATTTATTTATTTCATAAACAGCATCAAAAAGGCAAATACACAAATGGTAAATAAACATATGGTTACAAAGTAGTTATATTATATTGCAGACAAATATAATTACAGATAAATAAGATTAGAGATAAATAAGATTACATCACAGAACTGTTATTATACTAATCCATTGCAAAGTTATGCGCCACACCTTTCAGGTATTCCATTATTTCTCGATTTTCAAAATCTTCAACCATGACTTAAATTCTCATATCAGCTCGCAGATACCTATTCTGCTTGTATGGCGGTTCATCTCCACATACAAATTGTTCATAACATTGATCAATTGATTTTTGAATACGCCTGAGATCATCTATGAATTCCCATAATGTGGGGTGTTAAACTTCAAATGATGATGACACCAAATTTATTTGAATGTTGAAGCAAACTTATTCTAAAAATAAATAAAAATACCAAAAGTATGGCGTCAAACAAAAGGAAAAAAAGTATGATGTCGAACTGACCCTGCGTCGAAACGACCTCATGTCAAATTGACCACGCGTCGAACCATTGGCATCGAACTGACCTGTACCAGCAGAATATGGCCAATGTTATTTTTTCTTTCTGAGAACAATTTTTCATCAGTCTTTGTGATTAAATCTTCACTACCTATTTTTTTTTTTTTTTTATTTTCATGATTCTGCATCTTGTAGACAAATATTTCTCTCAAATAATTGTTCTAGTATATAACAGAAGTATTAGCCATGTTGAGTTGTTCTATGAAATTTTTTTAATCTGTTGGCAGCAACAAATGGCTGTCTACTCGCTGCAAAGCAGTTGCTGACTTGCGTTCCCACTGTTTCCATATCTTTCGAAAATCACCATGCTCTCTTCGGTTGATTAAAATAAAATTTTATTTCATACAAATTGCAACATTAACAGTTACAATTATGCTCATGAAAAAACTAATAACATCACTTTCTTTGCTTGGTAGATTTCATAATCGAACTAGAAAGAGCTCCCCAAATTCGGAGTAGCATAGCTATGTTTCAGGAGGATAACAATGATGGAAGCATACCATTGAAGAGTGACTTAATGTGCTTTCTCAGAATAGATCATTGGTCATAAGAACATTGCTCTTTCATTGTAGAACAGTTTATTCACTGTAGCAGGTTGCTGATAACAAGCAGTTGTCTTTTGCATGGGTTGCCTTTTGCATTGTCTCTGCACTTAGTCGATAAAACTTATTCCCAACAATAACCACACACATAAAAAATTACCATTGAGTGTTCAATTTTAAATCTCTGAAGGTGGTAATACAACAGGAAGTTGCTGCTATTACATTCAAAATGACTCTCAAAGTCAGACAAATATTGAGAAAGGCTCAACTAGTGCATAAACAATGGAAGCCACCACTTGTGTGATGTTTTGTTTAAAACAAAACAAAAAAATTGATGCAAAATGAAATTGTGTGTACTTTCAAGGAATAAAAAGAAAGTTTTCATGTCTTATTTGGTTAGGATTTTATTAGCTTCCCAAACTGAAGAGAGTGTTTTTTTTTTTTTTTTTTTTTTTTTCTCCTGTGCCGTGTATAAACTCCGGGGGGAAAAAAGCTCTATTCTTAAAAGTTAGGCTTATAGGCATTCATAAAACTTAGTAACTGGACATCTGGTTCATGAAAAAAGGAGAGTGGTATAGCTCCTGTTCATCAAGAAACGTGGAGCACCAAAAGGCAGACGGCTGACTTCACATACTAGTTTTAGCTGGGCGAAAAGGAATGGCCTTCACACCTAGGGTAGCCCTGCCAGGAGAAACTCTAGATGTACTTCGCCCATTCTGCCCATTGTCACCCCCTGACCATGTTGAGGCAACTAGTGCCCGGCTGAAATAACCTTCTTTGAATAATGTAATATACAACCGTTGAATTTGAGACATAAAGCTAAACTGGAAAAATACTTTTATAAATAACTCATAACTGTACCTCTGTACTTCTTCATGATTGGGTTTCTAATCAAAGATTGAAAGGAAACAGCTTTTTTTTTCTTGGCTTATTTCATGGATTTAATAGCTACAACTGTTAAGAGATAATCCCTGAAACTTACTTTCAACCCTTTGGAAGGACTGGCATCTATTTTTACACAGGCCTAAACTCTTATAGCAACAGAAAAAAGAAAAGGGATTTACCATATTTTTTCGGCAGATTGGCATTGGAAACTTTAAATGGGCCTTTAGATTTTCACTGACAGCAGTAAAAATGAACGTGGGAATTGTATTAGTGGAGTCTTAATCAGAACACCTGTGAATAGTTTTAATTTAATAATTTTAAAACTAGAAACTCTGATCACTGTTCTGTTTTTTATTCTGAGCTTATAGCAATTGAAGCTGCATACACTTGCACTGCCAACAAGATATCTGCATTTTGACTGACAATTGCAGTTCTCCCCAGCGTCTGCAAAATTGGCCTCATAATGGTGATTAAGTCTTCACTTTCTGTTTTGGCTTTATTGCAGAAACTCTCTTCCCATCATGATGTGCATCTGTGATGGATATCTTCATATATTGGCCTCAGTGGTAATGAAATGGCTGATGCCCTGACTAAGGAAGGTACTTTAATGTTTCTGACCACTTGCACCCTGACCTTATTAGAGATCTGCTCAAGAGTTAAAACTACTGATGCCTCTTCCTGGGATTTTCCTTTGGCTTATAATTGGTACTTTGACAAACAGTCAGGAGGTGCTATTGCTTTTGCGGGTAATTGTGTTCAGCAGACTTTAGGAATAGGGAACTCTATATGAATCATATGCTTAAGTACTCAGTGCAAATCGCTAAATTTATAATGAAATTTAAAGGTAACTGTAATCACAATATGAAAAGATTGCAACAAATAAAGATCAAAGTTAAATATTCCAACTCTACTATTTTTGCCATACATTTTTTTTTCTTATGTGCCATCAACTATGTGTGAATGTATTATGTATGAGTTATTATCAAAAATAATTATTGTATTATTAAATATAGAAATTCTGTCATAATTATTAATGTATCAAAGTAAATTGTCGGAGAGTTTTAGTAAATAAAATAAAATATTTTATAATATTTAAAATATTGTTTAATGGTCTGCAATCAATATTTCCCTGCAAAACCTTTAAAAAAAGCTCTGCTTTCTGTTAGGTTTCATGTTTTTCTAATATAAATTTTCTGAATATTTTCAGAAAGAAATAGAAAAAGCTGCAGAAGCTCTTCGGCAAGCAGTGGACGTTTGCCAGCGAAAACGGAAAAAGCATACTGTGTCAAAAATGATACGTCGACCTGATTACAATTTATATTCTGAAGGTAATTATTTTACATTGATTAGAAGTTACTTATTTGGAGATAAATTTAAAATAAATTTTCTTTCTTATTTCAAAGATGTTTCTTAAGAATTAATTCTGTCATGAAACACATGAAAATCACTTACAGTTTGTAAAAACTGAATATAAAACAGAATAAATTACTCATTCACATTACTTCTCACATGTTGTATATGAATTTATGAAATGATGTGCAGCATATTCATCTAAGAAAGGTATGAATGATATATTTTGTTTTAATTAATAAAAGGAGCTTTGTGCTTTGGTCTGTTATGTGGCTTTATCTTGAATATTTTATTATTTCATCTAATTTTCGCAATATATTAAGATAATATCTTTGAGTTGTGCATATGGAAAAATAATTGATTGAGTGATATTTATTGACTATAATACACATCATGTATTATAGTCAATTATGTTGTATAGGACCAAACAACTGACTGACATGTATTTCAAAGGCTTAAAAAGCTGTGTTTTTGTTAGTATATCTCCACTTTGGTAAAAAGAATGAATTGACATTTTATTCTCTGGTTGTGTATTTAAAAAAATTAACAGTGTAAATGGGAAAAAAAATTAAATTTGAATTTGTATGTCCAAACTAAAGGCATAGATCTGAATAATAAATTAATAAATTCTAGAAAAGTAAAAACTAATAACAAAAGAAAGTTTCAGAAGTAATGAAATGATATTCAATATCATAATATTAGCTATTATGATATTGAAAATGTGAAAGATTATCATCATGTATACTGAGAGTAAAATATTATTTAATCATCTTCCATCTTTTTCCTCCTTATTTAAAAATGTGAATACTAGCAGAATGCTTAAATACTGGATAAAGCTTATAAGCTTCGTAAGCTTGTCTATTTTATTCGTCTTATTTAATATTTCTCTTTATTGCTTTCTCTGAATAATAAAAAATTTGACATGGTTATTATTGCTTTAAAGTGACATCATATGTTGAAACTGCATATGAATTTCTGTTTTATATGAAAGGAAAAATAAGGCTTTGGGTTATTGTATATCAGGAGTGGCCATAGTGTGGCTTATGAAACGCAGCTCTTGCAGGCAAGTCTCATGGCTATTATGCAAATAAAATATGCATATGAAATAAGATAAAAATGATATAAATACTTGTGACTTTTCCAAAAATCTAGTTGCAGCTCTCGAACTTTCCTAAGTTCTAACATCTGGCTCTTACTAACATGAAGTTTGAACACCCCTGTTATATATAATGTGTAGTTACAGATTTAATTTGATATTGTCTCACATTCTAAGGTAATTAATTATATTATTACTTTTTGTTGTTTTAGAGGAAGTCCATGCAGAGTTATGTTATGCAGAATGCTTACTGTTAACTGCAATTTTGACTTTTGTTGAAGATCAAAGTTTAGTCAATTTTGTTCGTGGAAGTCTAAGAATAAGGACATGTTATCATTCATATAAGTGAGTATTAGCACCTGCATATCACATGATATATCCTAAAAGTTGGAATAATTTCGAATGGATGAAGATATTGTATTTCAGTAATTATTGTATTCCTTGATGCATAATTTCTCCTATTTTAAATGGATATCAGTTTAAAATAAAAGAAATATGTGTGTATGTCTGCATTTGCTGTTAAAATGGATTAAAATTAAATATTTGAGGTTTAAGGAACAAATCATATTGATAATAAAAAGATAGCTTTGATATATATTGTAATGGTCTGAATATAACACTACCTCTTATATAATATTAGTGAGTGTTTATTTATTTATTTTAAAGGCTTACACAGAAGCCAAGAAGTCACCCCCCCCATACATGAACTTTTACATATGTGCTAGAAGTACTATTTTATAGTCAAACTAGCATAATTTAAGGTAAGATGAGGTAAATATGTTTCTTTATAAAAAGTTAGGTTACAAATATAAAATGGATAGTTCAGTTTCACTTCTAAGTGGGTAAGCTTTATAGAACACACCTCTTGCCCAAAAAGCAATTTTTTTTTTTATATGGATGGATGACTGTGCACATTCCATGAACTGTGCTGTTGCACAAAAATAGGTCTTTGTATATTTTTTAGCTGAAAGCTTAGATAGAAATTAATAAAATATTTTAGACGTGAATATTTTTAACATAATATTACAAATTCCGAATATTATGAAAGTATATGACTTTCTAATATTATGGAAAAAAAAAATAAATTACACAAAACATTTCATTTAAAGGATTTTTCTCCCCTGTGCTCTATCTGATAATGTAAACAGTAAACTATATGATTTTTCAGTTTGTTCATTAAATGAAGATATGTAAAAAAAAGTCATTTCAACACTAAATTAAAAAAAGTCTAATTTGAATTTTTAAAAAATGGCTGGACCACATGATATTATCATCCACAAATACTGTGTGTACAAAATTTGAACTTGATAACTTAACAGGAAGTAGTTTAAAAATCAATGAGACTTTTGACCATAGCAACAAACACTATGAATAAGTGAAGCGAAAGCTTATAAGAATAACAATGTATTGTGCATATGTGATGTAATGAAATTTTCTGACGCTTTTATACTGCTTCATTTATACTTATCATAAAAAAGCTGCAAAATTTTCTTGATGACCCATTTATTTCTTCAGAAATTTTTATGCTTTCTAAGAGTGGTATTAAAATCTATAGCCTCATAAATTTACTCACATTATTTTTCCTCATTTGAATACTGCATAGCATATTTATATTATTCTGTTCTATTTTAAATTTTTCATGGTAAATTACCATGCTGAAATATGAAAATTTTACTCTCAGCAATTTATCACTCATACTGAAATTCTGTGGTGATATTGTCTGATTTTTTATGCATTCATTTCTCCTTGAAGAAGATTTCAAGTTAGCTTTAAAAGTATCGTAAAGTTCCTTATATAAATGTAATAATGACAGTCTTTGCTGCAGGAGACTAAATATATGTATGAAAATTTTTTATGCTTAAAATTGTTTGTAGAGAAAGTTCTGTAAGAAAGGAAATTTGGAGGAAATTGTGATATTTTTGTTTGAATATAAAGCTCAAATACTTGATTTTTTTTTTTCTTTTAGAGAATGTATGCATATTTTAGAGACAAGGAAGTGGGGCAATGAGTTACGTAAGAAGCACTTTGAAAGTGGTGTTCGAATGGGTGTTGGTGCCTTTAATCTGGTAATATTTTTAATAAAAAAAATTTTTCATTATTAAATTAAACCTTTGTTATAAAAAATTACCTGTATTTTTAATTACTGTGATGTTAAGGAATTTTTCCTTTTAATATGTTATAAAGCGATAATTTTAATTAATTTATATTTTTTAGATGATATCACAGTTGCCAACAAAAGTTTTGAAACTTCTAGAATTTATTGGGTTTTCTGGTAATCGAGTACGTATATTTCCTGCTTTATCTATTATCTCTTAATTTATGAATTTTTTATGCTTATTTATATATTTATCTTTAAGAGCCATTTCTGTGTGTTATTGTGTTTTCCCCCTACCCGTGCTTTTCTGTTTTTAGAAGGCATAAATCATTAGGTACTGAAAAAAATAATGGTAACAAATCTTTTAAAACATAGTTTCTCAACATTTTTAGTGTACTGTGGCTCATGCTCTTGCAACAATGGTATATTAAATGTCTTTTCAATGTGATGTATATATATACTAATGGAATACATGTTAAAAGTTTTAAGTATTCATTGCATTTATGCTGCACTTTATTTTAGATTAAAACTCATCAAAAACAAAATGCAGTTTCCTGCAATCACTTATGCACTGGTATGTCGTAGAGGCACACAAGGTACTTGTGGTTTAGATTTATTTGCATTAAGTTGTCTAGGAGAAAGAATTTCATCACCAAAATAACCTTAATCAGTGAGAATATTGTTGTTGATAATGTATCACTGTACTGTTCTCCCATGTGTTTCTCCCACATGGGAGAATAGTAATCCCGACTACTAAAAACCCGACTATCTGTCATTCAACTAACTAGAAATGTCAAGTAACTAGAATAGTTTAGAATTTTATAAACCCTGAAAATTTAATGAATGAGAGGTTTAGAGCGGCATTATAGAGCTTGTAATACTAATAGTGTGTATCGTCACCAAAAAATGTGATTTAGTACCAATGATGGATAAGTATGATGTCACAATACAATCATTATAAGAAGTTCATTTTTTTTTATAAACATACTACACAGTATTTAAAAATTTAATGAATGCATCCAGTCATTTCAAACAATACATCAATTTTGGTAAACCAGAGAGTAAAAGTGTCCATAACATATAATTTAATTAACATTCATGCATTGTGTGATTAAAGAAAATTTTCATTATAACCTAGGAAATAGGTATATATAAATTAAGTATATATATACTAATATAGGTTTATATAAATTAAGCTATTAGAAAAACAGATTTATTTAGTTAAGTAAACATATATTATTTATTTAGTAAGAAAGAGCAAAATAGATTTTACAAAATCTGTTTTGTAGGTGGTTGACTAAGTAATAGTAAACAGATAACATACCTTTTGACATACATTAATAAGTGGACCCCACTTCAAAGAGAATTTTTTCATACTCATATTAATTACATGAAACCTAACTCTGAAAATACAACATTAATTAATATCTAGTGAAAACTATGAAGACCATTGACACCAGGGAGAATTTCAACAAAAATTTCAATCACAGGATTAATCATTAGCTACCCGATATCACTGGAATTATTTGAATAAGATCAAGATTTTAGAAGACATAATTTTTTGCAACCACATATTATTTCAAGAATTATATAAGATAGTCTCCATAAGCTGCAAAAAAATTATAGGCAATAGCCAATTTCAAAATATAAATTTTTATTTTTAAACTGGTTATACCATGTGATGATGAAGAAGTTTCAGCATTCATTTAACTATTCACTATTTTGCAACTAATTATACAAGATCTTGATTTTACTAAATGGGTACTAATGTAAGTGTTACTAGTTCGGAAATGTGCACAACTTTTTTTAACTCCACTGAAGACATCTATGCATGAATCAGCTGACTAAATCTATAAAGATAAAAGGAAAGTAGTTAATATGGAATTAGGTGAGATTTCTCCTTCCTTCCAGTGGATCTTTAGAAGCCGTGTTTCCTATTGCCATTCTTATTACAATGGCCACTTCCATCCTCTTTTTCTGCCTTGCTGACCATGTAAAAGATGGAACCTTCTCTTTTCACTTCACAGCTTCAAATGTCTCGCTGGCGCTCTTCTTCTGCTCGGCAAGTATTTTACTTTTCTTGAGAAGGAATTCCTCATTTCCCATCCAGCAAACCAAAAGGGTTGCAAACCACCAACAACATTAGTGGTGCCTCTTAGGGAAGTGTTGACAGAGGAAACAGAAATTAAATATAAGTTTTTCTATAGAAGTTAATAAAGATTTATCATTTTCAAAATTATGTAAATCAGTTAGAGCTCTAATTGAAACTTTTAATAACCACTTTAAACAAAACTAATTGGTTACAAGAATTAAATATTAAATTTGCTAGCAAGTTACACAACATTTTGGTTTAATGTAAACTCAATTAATTCTTGATAAGCCGGTTTATTTTATTTATTTATTTTGTAGAGAAGGATGTAAGTTCTCATGAGAAAAAATTATTAATATTTGGCATATCAGAATTATAGTATCTGGACATCCAAAAAAAAAAAAAAAAAAAAAAAAAAAAAAAAAACAAAAACAAAAAAAAAAAAAAAAAAAAAAAAACCCCAGCATACTTGACTTTGAAAGCAGGTAAACAGTGGTTGTATAATGGAAAACATTATGTTAAGCCATTCAAGTTCTTTGTATGCTATATCTATATCTCTTTATTATCTAACTAAATAAACAGTGATGTGTTCATTGTAAACTTCTGCCAAAATGATTGGCGATATCTTCACTAACTTTCACATTTGGGGAGATTCCATAATCAGATCAGATGTTTTATGTTCATGTTTAAGGCCTGCAAATTACATCAATTTTATTTCTTAAATGCCTTTCCTTTCTCAAAATCATGTATAATTTTAAATCTAGGCTTTTGATATTTGAGTTGATGACAAATGAGATGATTATTTTTATGATTTTAGAGCTGACATTTTCCCCATTCATTTGGCTTTTGTAATGTGAATTCCGTTTTCTATATGCACAGCTATCTGGAATTTTAATGTATCTAGAATTCTACATTTCCCAAGCTTTCCAGGTAGTTAAGCTTTTACTGTATATACAGTCAAAAGTCGTTAATTCAGACACCTATAATCCAGAATGATCTATAATCCGGACTTCAAAGCTAAAAACTTTCTGCGCATGCGCCGCGTTGACACATGCGCATAGGCGTTTATGCGTGCGCATAAGACCTTTAGGACTGCACATATGTGTGTGCACAAGTGCAGAATACGTTTTCGCGTGCGCGTTTAATGTATAACAGACGGTATAAGCTAAAATTATCTAATTATCTATTTCAATTAATGTTGATGATTGCGTTGTTCCTTAATCTTCGAATTGGATGCGGCTTATTATTTTTTGCAGACTGTATGAGCAATTTTATAAAAGTAAACTTGAACTTTCGATTATGTCAAATAGAATTTCTGATGCTGGAGCTCCCAAAGGATCTGCAACAAAAAAACGAAAATATGTTTCGACGTCCGTCAAACAAAAAGTGGAATTGCTGCAAAAAATGGATAAAGACATTATAAAAAAAAGACATGAAGAAGTGACGAGAGAGGTTAGTGAAAACGAAAAAATTTTGATTGACAAGTTAGTCGGTATTCTCGGCACATCAATTACGGGACTTGAACAGCGGAATTTTGTAACTGAACAAAAAATTATGTCTGTTTATAGAATTAAAGAGAAAGTATTATCACATAAAACGAAGCAACTTAAACAACTTACATTGAGAGAAATGTTTAATAAAGTAAACAAATAAATACAGTCAAAAGTCGTTAATCCGGACTCGTCGGGACTTCGGCGATTCCGGATTATCGATTTTTCCGGATTATAGATCATCAGTTTAAATCTCGTTAGATGGCATGCAGAAATTCTAAAATTAAAAATATGAAACCGTAATTTATGAAATAAAGAACAATTATGATCTAAAGGGTATCAAAATTTGCAAAAAAAAAAAAAAAGCTTAATATTTATTTTGTTTACTTTATTAAACATTTCTTTCAATGTAAGTTGTTTAAGTTTTGCTTCGTTTCATGTGATAATACTTTCTCTTTAATTCTATTAAACAGACATAATTTCTTGTTCAGTTACAAAGTTCCGCCGTTCAAGTCCTATAATTGCTGTGTCAAGAACACCGACTAATTTGTCAATCGAAATTTTTTGTTTTCAATAACCTCTGTCACTTTTCTTCGACTATCGGAAGCGAATTATAATGACGAGGAACTTGTTTTAAATCATATCAAAGACGGAGCATGCATCGAGATGAAATACTACATTTAGTAAGGAATTATAAGCCAAATAAAATAAAAACATCTGCGCTTGAAGATAAGGATAGTGCTGACAAATCAACTTCCAATTCATTGTGCGCCGAGGCATTCCCGCCGCCGAAGCGCAGCGTGAAATGATGATAAACAGATTTCGGATTTCAAAACATACTTTCGCTTTAGATCCTTTACATATTAACAAATATATATCGGAAATTCTATTTGATATAATCGAAAGTTTAAGCTTACTTTTATAAAATTGCTCTTACAGTCTGCAAAAAATAATAAGCCGGATGCAATTCGAAAATTAAGGAACAATGCAATCATCAACATTAACTGAAATAGATAATTAGATAATTTTAGCTTATACGTCCATTATACATAAAATGCGCACGCGAAAACGTATTCTGCACTTGCGCACACTCATATGCGCAGTCGTAAAAGGTCTTACGCGCACGCGTGAACGACTCTGCGCATGTGTCAACGTGGCGCATGCGCAGATAGTTTTTAGTTTTGATGTCCGGATTATAGATCATTCCGAATTATGGGTGTCCGAATTAACGACTTTTGACGGTATTAAGCTTTTTTTTTTTTTTTTTTTTTTTTTTTTTTTTTGTTGTTTGTAAATTTTGATACCCTTTAGATCATTGTTCTTTATTTCATAAATTACAGTTTCATATTTTTAATTTTAGAATTTCTGCATGCCATCTTACGAGATTTAAACTGATGATCTATAATCCGGAATCGCCGAAGTCCCGACGAGTCCGGATTAACGACTTTTGACTGTACAAGGTGTAAAAAAAGTTCTTTTAGAGTGAATGCCATCATAGGATGTGCATATGTAGTGGACAAATAATGAAGCACAGAAATGATATCTTTCTAACATGTTTGCGCATTTGTACTAAAATAAGCATTTTAGGTTTCTGTTAGTAACACTCTTGCATGCAAAGATTTAGTAATGGCTGTAAAATAGAGCAGTGAAGAAATTTAAAGTTCTGTTTCAAGCGTGGTAAATCTGCAAAAGAAAATCATGAAATGCTGAAACAAGCTTACAGTGATAAGCCATATATTTAAAGTGTTTTTATGAAGGTTTCAATGCTTTTTGTTTAAATGCTATACCATTCATGATATTGCTCAAAATTGTAGGGCTTTGTGTAATGCTGAAAGAATTAAAAAAGGGCAGTGATGTTAGCAGTGAATCATTGTCTTACAGTGTAAATAATATCAAAAAAATAGGGTATAAGTGTTGAGAGTGTTCATTTTGTACTGACAGATAATTTGCACAAACAGAAGGTTTGCAATTTTCTAATACCTCATCATGTTACAAAATATCATGTGCATGTTCATACGGATGCTTGTGGAGACAAAACGTGATGTACTACCCTCAGCCTAAAAGGTAAGGCATGGAAAAGCCCTAATCCCAATTCATCAAGCACAAGGGGAAGAAGATTCAATGTGAAAAATAATGTTTATTTCCCAGGATATTATTGATATTTCACATTTACAAAGATGTTCTGTCAAATTTGTTGCAAAGTATCCTGTACATCCAGAATACTCCAAGATAAGCTTTTGATTCCTTCACTGTGATAATGCTTGGCTATATAAAGCCCTTATTATAGAGCAGTTATGACTTGTAAATGAGTGGTAGCCTTTGATCATCCATGAAACTCACCAAATTTTGCAGCAGCACTCTTCTTTCTTTTTCTGGGTTTGAAAAGATACAGAAAAAAAAAAAAAAAAGTATTTTTGGGTATCGCAGACATTTAAAGTCATATGATGAAGTCTCATCAATGATTTAAATTGATGATTTCAGTGATTCTCATCAGTGATTAAATTAAATTATTTTCTTGCAAAATACATATTTTTATTCTTTTTATAGTTATGGGTCTCTTGGAATGTTGTCAATTTTAATACTTTCTTGACATCTCAGAAATGTTTAAATCCATGCACAAAATTATGTATAGTTTATATACTTTCTGAGAATTTGCATAAGTCTCTGCTTAGGTATCATCAAACGTTTTTGCAAATTTCAGTTTATATACTTTCTGAGAATTTGCATAAGTCTCTGCTTAGGTATCATCAAACGTTTTTGGAAATTTCAGGCATATTCTCTGCTTCTGTGTCATGGTAAATGTATTGACAAGACACTTCATGATCCATGTACAAAGCAGAAAAGTTCTGCTATATATTTTTCACTCTGAATTTATGGCACCAATTTTTGATACTTTTCGATCACACCTCATTTTTTTGTCAGAGTGGGCTTGGCACACAGATATAACTGTAGTAACAAGATTTGATACCAGTGAAGAACAGTAGGATTTCTTGCACCTTATTTGTTGTTGAACCTTATCTAGTAGAAATAAAATGACATTATTTCATACAAGGAATTAAAGTTATGATTGGAAGAATTTTGAGCAGTGAAAAGGTTATGTGATGCAGAGTCGTAGCTAGGGTTTTCAGCACCCAGGGACAACTGAAGATTCCGCGCCCCCTACTGCTTGCCAAGGATCGAAAACATTTAATTCTAAAATGTCGTAACATCAGTTTGGCGCCCCTTGGATTCTGTGCCCGGGGACAGATGCCCCCCTTGCCCCCCTCTAGCTATGCCCCTGATGTGATGACATTTTTGGCTTATCTGATACCAAAAATAGAAAATAAACAGGCATGTTTGGAATGGCTGATGATGTATTGAAACTTTATTTGAATTTTACAACTATTTGTTTTTGGTATCTTCTTGAAAACAGCCTTAGTTCATATATAACTAGAAACCTTAGTTCATATATAACTAGAAACCTTAGTTCTCATATATTTTGCAGCAACTTGGATTAAAAGAACTTGATGATGGATATGCTATAAAAGAGAGTTTGCGTTCGCCACTTTGTGCCCTAATTCTAGTGACATTCCACACTTTAGTTACTTATATTTTTGGTAAGTTTCTAATTTATTTTTTGTTGAATTTCTTACATGATTAAATGCATCACTATAATATTTTTCTCATGCTTGTATTAAAAGTGTATTGATAATTTGAAAATCCATTATTTTTTACACTCTCATTTTTAAGTAGTGTTAGGTTATTGGACATCAGGATTATCTTGCTGCTAAGATATAATTTACAACTTTCATAATATATGAGGGGAAGTAAAAATGGTTTTATTATTAAAATTCACTTTCCGTTATTTGAGATGAGGTATATAATATTTTGTACTGCTTGTAAGTTGCAATGTGTTACAGTAGTAATGTATTCATACTAATCTCTTTTATTAATATGAACGGCGTAAAATTTTATGTGTTGTTTAGTGACTGCAGTAAATGAAACATGTGTATGTTGATTATTCAGAAAATGTTTAGATTGCAGTTGCTATAGGTGTAAAGTAAAAGTCATTTTCTTTTATTAGATGGAGTGGGCAAAATTTTATTTACTTATTACCTTGTGTTATATCTGATGTTGATTATTAAACATAAAACCTGCTGTCTTTGGCACACTAAAAATAAAATAAAAAGAAATTAGTATTTTCTTTAACGAAGGATATCAGCAACATAAATTATTCATGATGTAAGGGTATGTACATCATTTAATTTTGCATAATAATTTTAGCTCTTCTGGTTCATTGTGGGGGGGGGGATAAACAAAGGTCTTGTGGAATCTTGCATTTTCCAAGAAACTAAATTCCATTGATGATGTATGAACTTTATGTATGCTCTGACACTACCTATACATTGCATCTGTAATTGATCTTTGTCCATAATCATATGTAACATTTCATTTATGTTGTAATTTATAATAGCTTTATTTATTTGACGTAAATTTTAATTTAATTGCCAAATATATGCTTGCAGCTGTGGTTACAAAGTAAAATTTGCCAACAGAGTAATCAGTAGAAATGGAAATACAATAGTGCCTTCATATTCAGATGTAGTGGTATCTCAGTTAACTCTGATAGTGTCTCTGCTTCCTGAGAAAAAATAAACAAAAGCACAATGCAACTCCATTTCAGAGTTTTTTTTTTTTTTTTAAATAAATAAGCAAAGCTTCTTTATAGGTATAGCTTGAAATCTAAAATTAGGTATTGAATTTACTTTCACAAAGGATCCATCAGTGTTAATTATCTTTGAGAAAAGATCAGCTTCTGTCTGCAAAAAAAATTTGATGCCAAGCATCCTTTAATAATTGGGGGGGTGGGCAGAAACTTTCATATAATCTTTCATGCTATAGGTAAACACTTCTCATCTGTTTCACATAAACGGCACTAAGGTTTTTATTCTGAAGTGATTAGAAACAAACCAAATGGATTTTCAGAGGGTTTGTTATGCCAAAAAGGTCAATGTCAAGCCAAACTGGAAATCTGTGAGATAAAATTATATGACAATTTTAATCTCAAACGATAAGACGAATGAATAGTTGTGAGATAATCAGTGTCACCCTGACATTTGAGAAGTAATGCAGGCCAAGGTAATTATAGTCGTTGGATCCCATGAATTTCTTCTTCAGACCAAACTACATCAAAACATTATATCATATTTCCAAGGCTTACTGTGCTTACTGTGATTGAGCTATCAGAAGCTTTCATGCCCAAATATTACTCTTTGTTCTCGAAGTAGCTCTTATATGTGCTAGATGCCCTACAGTTCTAGATGAGTAGCATGTACATATATTATATCTGGTGACCTATGGCATGTAATTGGTATCCCTTGTGTTAGTATTTGTGGTTGTGTGAAACTATACACAATAGAAATCCTATGCATTACCTGTATTGATCTTCCTTTGGTTAAGTGACACTGTTACTCATTAGACATATTAAGAAATTAAATCAAATTATCTGTATCTTGATTTTGAAAACATTTTATTAGTGTAATTTATAATGCAATCCAATTTAGTAATATCTGATTTTTTTGGCACAGTAATAATTAAAATTATAATAATTATTGTGAAAAATTATTATCATTTCTTTAATATAAATTAAGGAAATATTTTAATAAGTTATACATCAATTATAAAATCATCTGTGTTTTATTATTGTAAATTGCTTCAGTATTATTAATCTGAATTGACTTCTCAAGTGATTGCTTGATTTTTAATATTAGGCTGTGGTGATGGAGATATTGAAGCCTCTGAAAAAATTGTGAAAGATATGCTTGTGCGGTATCCAGAGGTAAGAATTATGTATGTGTTTGTAATATTAAGTATGTATTGGAAAACATTTATTAATTTTAACTTATTAAACACGTTGACTGCCTAACACAAGATAGCTTGTATTCGTGCTCTTCTTTAGGACGCCCAATACGAGTTATCTAGTAGTTTCTTGACTTGCTACTTTTGCGCCGCTATGAGTTACTTACTCGCTTCATAGCACTTATTTTAGCTGTACCAAGGCAACGCGTCAAAGCGTGTCTCTACGAATCAACACGTGGTGAGCTTTTGCGAAGAGCTTTGTTTAACAAAAGCAGACTATGAGATAATTCGTAGGACCCTTTTCCTGTAAACTTTTTAATGATTGTTACAAATTATAATTAGTATTTTTAATAATATAATATGATTAAATTGGTTTGGCTTCTCAGACTGGAATCTGAAAAGTGCTGTGAAAGTCAGCGTCTTAATAATTAGGATTTGTAACGTATTAAGAATAAAGGTTTATATGATATTGTTCAAAGTGTTGCTTCTTTAAATATATGTTTATTTATTAAATTATTACACAGAGCTAATTTCCTAAAAGAAAATGCATAAATGTGTTTGGTATTTAATGATTCTGTTTATGGATGCACTTTTCATTTTCCACAATCTACCTGCATATCTTATATGCTTTGTTGTCATCTGTATAATGTGGGTATAGAAAGTTTTGTAACTTTCAGTTCTTGCAGCTTAAGTTTATACATTTTTTACTAAATGCTAATTGCTACGTTCATTTTACTAGGCTGCTTTATTCATATTTTTGTCTGGACGTATAAAGCAGTTGAAAGGACAAGTTGATGAAGTAAGAATTATGCTTTTTTAAATGTTTCAATAATTATATATTGGAAAGTTGGTTTTTACTATGATCTTATTAATTTTTAGGCTATAGAAACCTTTAAGCGCTCCATTGAAGTTCAAGAAGAATGGAAGCAGTTTCATTATCTATGTTATTGGGAATTACTGTGGTGTCACTGGTATGAGAAATAAATATTTTAAAACTGAATTTAGTTTCCTTGCATTAAGAATTAGATTAAGTTTTTAAAACTTTGTAAATAAGTGTGTATAACTTTACTTAAGTGTGTTTGCATAGTATCAATTGTGTTATTTGAATTTTAATGGTTTTACATTATTAATGTACAAACACTGCTTCAATAAAAGTACAGTCAAATTAGGTTGAAAGTTTGGAAAATAATATACAGTACAAAGTCCGAAATCCAGATGTACATTATCTATCTGGACCTGAAAACCAACAACAACGTTTTTCTGGTAGTTTTTCTTTACATATGCGCATTTAATTCCCCCGTCCCTCCGCACATAATAAAACATTTGGAGAGTCCCGATTCTTAATTTCACTTCGACACTAAATAAAATACCTTGTTATTGAAGAAACAATCATTTTAGCATAAATTTGTACGATCAATAATTTGACTCCATTGCTGCATATCCGCTTGGCACACATCTCAAACTGAAACATTCCACATACATACATCGTTGATCTGACTCCAACCTGGTGAATCATTTTTTGTTATACTTTCCTTTCATCACCATATGTTTATCAACATATGACAACTTGAGTAATAACTCATGTAGCGATGCCTAACCAATTTTTTTATGTTAGTTATTGAATAATAAAGGAGTATGGTAACTCTTATGTTGACATTATGCTTGGCGATGATTACAGAATTAAGTTAAATGCGCTAAAACATTTTGACGAGAAAAAAATTTAACAAAGATTTCTTCCCATGTGCTGAAAATAGATTTTGTTGATGATATTCATAGACCTAAAGATTACATTTAGGGCTATTTGAATTAAGAATAACTGATTTGTTATTCACTTAAACCCAGAACCAGCGCCAGGGCTCATATGGCCGCACCGGGTCGCAGAATTTAGAAACCGCAGAGACTGCATCAGGTGGTAAGATACCTAGCGCAGGCCCTCAATAAGGCTTAAGTATATGTGGGAATTTATTTATTCAGAACTTTGATAAGCCTTAAGCATGTCCAAGAAATAGACATAAGTATAATAAATAACTAAAACAATTCAGGCTTAATTGTCTCAGTGTACGATAGAAGCAAGATAAAAATTTAACAGAAAAACTTGTCACTAGTTGCCAAGCTCATGATGCATAGCCAAATATGTATAGCGAACGATAGCTAAGTTTTATGATGATAGCCGCGAATGTCAAAGTTTTTCGGATATCGCAAAACAAAGGTGAAATTTTCCAATTAACGGATTTTGTAAAGAAATGTGGAGAAGCGGTAATAAATGAAAGTGATATAAAAGAAGATTTTCATTGTGATGACAGTGCTTCTCGATCATCAATCAATTAATGAATGGTGAAATCTGTAATATAGTTCTAGATCCAGAAAATACTGCTACCAATAGTGAAGACAAATTACTGAAAACAAAAAAATTTCAATTGACAAATTAATTGGAATTCTCTACAGAATTAAAGAGCAAGGTATTAGCACAAAAAACAAAGCAACTTAACTTACATTGAAAGAAATGTTTAATAAGGTAAACAAATAAATATTAAGCCTTTTTTTGTGAATTTTGATGCTCTTTAGATCATAAATACTTCAGTATTTCATAAATCATGATTTCATATTTTTAATTTTATAATTTTTACATGCCATCTTACTAAATTTAAACTGATGATCTAATATCCGGTTAAAATTCCCAAATCGAGAATTGCCAAAGTCGCGACGAGTCCATATTTCGGACTTTGTACTGTATTATAAACTAATAAATATATTATATTGCAAGATTAAGCAGAAATAATCACATTTCTCTGCAGTTGCATCACAAATATATAAAGTCTGATATCTAGATGTCCAGCATCCAGAATGATCTAATATCCAGACTTCCTACTCACCAGCATTTTTTTTAATAGGATTTTTTTCTTTCCAAAACAGGAGAAAGAATTAGATTCCGAGAGTAGCATATGCTTAGTGCTTTCATGCATGCACAGCATTTTTTCCTAATAAGGCATGAGGGGCTTGATTTTTAATTTCGTTTTGACACTAAATAAAACATCTCCATGTTGAAGAAACACAATCATTTACTAGCATAAATCTTTATAATCAATATTTGGTTCTGTAGCTGCGGTATTACTTGGAATTCATCTCAAATCAAAACATTCAAAGTTTATTGCTTATTTTAGGGTTACTGAATGTCATTTGACCCTTGTGCCAACTTGACAACCATTTTTTTTTTTATTTGTTGCTTTCATCAATCACCACACACTGTCAACTCCGACCAGCTTGAGAAATGATTCAGGCAATTATATTGTTTACTTCTTTCATGAGGCAAACAGTTTTTGTTTTAAATAGTAGTAACTGAACACCAAACAGCATGGTAACCTTTTGTGCCAATGACACTCACCAACAATTACGAACTTCAGCCAATTGCATTATGAAGTGTGTTGATGATAAGAAATTTAATAGAAATTTTTAAAAATAGATTTTGTAAATGATATTCTTAGGCAATTTAATGCTATTTGAATTAACCCATAAACTGTCATGATCCCCATTTGGGGCTTTCCCTTAGTAGCAGAAATTTGCTAACTTTAATTAGGTTGGCAACAATAGTTACTTTTTTACATTGTTGTTTAAACCTTTCCCAAGCTTTTGCATGAATTAAGTAGTAGTTGTTAAATGAGTGAGCTGAAGAGTATTATTTCTGAGAAGAAGTAAAATATTTTTTATTTTCAAGATTTCAACATTTTTAAAACCTGGTATATCATATTATGTAAAAAAGGGGGATAGTTCTATATCTCCCGTTCTACTGGGCCGATTGACGAAATTCAAATTGTGTTTTTCATGTCTCTAAAGCATGATGTAGGATATATATTAGATTTATATATAGCATCAATCTAACATGAGTATTTTGACACAAAATCGGACTTTTTCTGAAATGATATGCCCTTTTTTTTCCATATTTCGAGTCTATGACTCAAATTATGCCAGACTACCAAGTTTTGTAAAAATTGCACGAGTAATTTTTAAAAAATTAGCTCTCAAAATTTTAGCTCCTCATTGTTAATTGAATTTGGTATATATCATTTAATATCTCATTTTTAATTAAACTTTTTTTATTCTTCCTTTCACATTTCGAAGTTTAGGTTCATTCTAAATAAAATTTACCCATTTTTTATGATTTATTTTTAAAATTTCTATTTTTAAATAATTTTTATGAAAAAAATTTTTAATTAGAACCTAGAAAAGTTTTACCATCATCTTAAAGTAGGTGTATTTCTAAGCAATTAGTCTAAATATTAATCTAACCTTCAAAAAATTAGATTTTTTTTATTAAAAATTTTCTAAGATATATGCAAATTTACATATTTGTGCGGTTTGAAATTTGGCATCTTTTTTTTGAGTGATAGTAATGTCAAATGTGGTTTATGGATTTTGTTACAGTGAATTGCCACAGCTATTTTTAACCTTAAATTTCAAATAAATTTTTACGGAGAATTAATTATATGAATTTTTTCCCTCAGTGTAATTCATAATTAATATTTGTTAATATGATATGAAAAGCTTTTTTTTTTAATTATAGATGATATTATTCAAATTTTTAACTTTTAAAAAAAAATTTCTTTTTTTTTTTTTTTTAAATTTGTAAGAGTCAATTTTTACCTTCACCGTGTTATCGTCTGCTACTTTACTTTTACTTCATTTAAATTGAATTGTCTAAAACTGAGAAAAGTTTGTTTGATGTTTATTTTTACAATGTTTTTAAGCAAACAAAACGTTGACACTTTGGGTCATGTCCTAGCTTTAAAAAACATATATATAAACATATATATAAACATTAATCCTCTTAGAAAGAATATTTTAAAGCAGTAATTTTCTCTCGTGTTGTAGATTATATAAAAAACATCTTCTTTACTATAGAAATTTTTAGGCTTAAAACTTTAAATAATATGATTAAGATTTTTTGCACCCGATATAAGAATTGAGTCACTTGGTGATACAGGATAAGCGCTGCTGAAGTGGTTTATTTCTTTCTCATTTAACAAAAATCTTTTAATTCAAATATTGATCTTTTGGACTTTGCTTTAAACTTTATTTATAGTTAAAATGTCTAGAAGCTGTCTTCAGCTGAAACACATTTAATGTAACTGATATTTTAAAAAATTGACAAGAATGCAAAATTTATGGAAGTGTAACAATCTAAAAATCATAATTTTCTTGTGTCAGCACTGAAAACAAATGTAGAAGGAAAGAAGAAAATTGGGGAAATAAATAAAATTTATTTAAAATTAATGTCAGAAATACCAATATGTTTCAAAAAGTTGGATGCTTTTTAATATACTTGCAGAATGTGTGAAAAAAAAAAAGAACAAACCATTAAGGGAAAAAATAAGCTTTTGCGTGAAATTTAGTATTTTTTAAATTAATTTTTTTTATTTTACGATATTTGATTCTTGCGATTTCAAAAATAAAATATTTGACTAAAATATGAATAACATTTTAAGAAATTAAATATAGGATGAGGAAATTGTGTAAAGCAATGGGCACAATGATAAAACTGTTTAAAGCAAAGTATGCAAGTCATCTAAAATTAAAATGTCGGATATATATCTCTCTTATTTATGTATCTTTTCTGAATGGAACATTGAAAGGTGTGTTAACTGTACTTTACAGTATTTTCTCTTTTAATATATGCAGTTTTCAAATGCATCGTAGTCTGGATCACAAAGTATTCTTCCGAAAGAAACGCAATTCAAATAAATAAAATAAAATTCTGGAAAATTTTATATTAATAAATATATTTTAAATATGCACTTCAAATGAATGAATAGAAAATTTTAAAACAATTATCTGAAGAGACAATGCAACACAAAAAATTAAAATAAAAGTCTAAAAATTCAAAAATTACCTAAAATAATAACTATGACTAAAAAATATAGTATAAAGAAAACTATTTGAAAAAAAAGTAATAAACGGTGCTCCTTACTATGCAGTTTGAATGTGTAAACAGAAATTTTTAAAACGGTTATTTGAAAGAAACCATGCAACTTAAACAATTGTCTTGTATCAGTTCATCACATATTTGTCTGTCCTTTGTTCTTAAGTGCATGTTGTAATACTTCTTTGGCGAAATGAAGCAACTCCAATGATGGAACACAGCAATAACTTTTATTTAACACTCAAAAAGACGACATACAAACAAGAAGAGAAAACATATTCTAACATTTAAAAATAATTTACATTCTTCGTGCGAGAGTCGCACATGGCACTCGAGTCTGGTTTCAAATATTGCCATTCACAAATACCTTAATGTTCATCTATTTAAATTATTTAAACCACAAGATTTTAATACTATTTAAAGCTGTTACAATGTAAATGTACTATCATGAGCTACTTTTTCATGGTATTAAGTAATTGCTTTCATTAGTTGTTTATAATGTTGCCATGCTTTGTTTTGAAACAATCTTGCATACTTTCAGTGCTATAACAAATAATTTTATTAATGTGATAATTGTAATTTCCTTCCTATTTCCCTCTTTGTATAACCCTCTAAGTCAGATTGCAACCTCAGTTTTGTGCATATTCTGTTTCCCGATACAACTGAAGTTTTAATTATTTGTATCTCTTAGCATAACTAATTACTATCCCAAATTTTAAGTCTAACTGATAGTTTTTCCTTGATATTGCAGTTCCTCTGAATAATAGCATATTAATGAACATATGCAAAAAAAGCACTTCTTTAGAATGATGTTATTGGTATGCTTATAATTCAAGTTTAAAATTTTATTAATAATTTCTTTTTGTGTACCTACAGAGAAAAGTTTATTAATTCATGCTAACAATGTGTATGTTTCAACCATGAAATGAGAACATTATGGTAAAAAATGTTTAAATTATTAAAAATAAAAAATTTTCTGTGCACATACATTTGTAGCTTTTTATCAACTTAAAAGTGTTGTTCTTTTAAAACACATGATATTAAAGCATTTTGTTATGATTTATCTAGTATTTAATCAAATTAAGCATGTTTAATATCATTCAGTGATTTCTTTGAAAAAGTATGAAAGAAAATGTGAATTAGAAATTTTAATACATATTTTCTAGTAAGAAGATATATTAAAAATAGTAGAAATTTCTAGTATTAAAAGTTTCTAATAGAAAATATGTATTAAAAGTTTTAATTTGTTTCCATGTCATGTGTGAATTTGAATTAAAAGTTTGTTTAACATGTATTTAATTGGTATGTAAGATTGAAATAAAGTGTTCAGTTTCAAAAAAAGAAAAGAAAGGGGGGAATTCAATTATTTTTATTATTCTAAAAATATTATGAGAATTCTGAAAAAATAAAATGTATTTTATATTTGAATAAAATTCTATTGTTATTAACAATTGCTATCTATAAATTTGTTTTTAATAGTTTTAAATGTGATTGGAAGGAAGCTGCAAAGTGTTCAGATATACTTAGATTAGAATGCAAGTGGTCACCAGCCATCTATACATATGTACATGCTTCTGTGCTGTACATGATGATGGAAGAAGGCCATCCAGAACTGAAAGATACTATTACAGGTCTTATGGGGTAAATTATTATTTCATTATTATCTAAAAAGGATTAGAAGAATGAGTACTTGCAAATAATTTTTTATCTTTTATTTTTATTTGTATCATAGTATGAAAGGGATTACTTACATAGATAGAGTGGACTTTAAAATTTAGAAGTAATGGCAACAAGTTAACTGCATACACAATTTAGTCCTATTAGAATTTTACTAAATTTTTTGCATTTCCAGTCTTTTACAATTTAGTTGAAAGAAAAATATTAATATGAGTAAAAAACTTCTATGTAGTATTTTTAGCATATTTAGAAATTTTAAGGCTATGTCGCAGTTAAAAAAAGTTTAGAACTATTATGAAATTCTATGTAGTCACCCTACATATGTTCATTTGAGACATATATCCCATAATACTTTTTCAGCAGTGAATTTATTTACATTGCACATTCAAAAATCCTATCTTCATAATGTCATTTAAGTAATTGCTTTGAATTTTATTATAATTATTATTATTATTATTATTATATATTATTATTATATTGATGGTGTTTGTATGCCTTCAAATACCTAGTTATGATAAATAGTAACACGTACTTTTTTGCTGGAATGAATTATTTTTAAAATATTAAGTGGTAGTTAAAATAAATAAGTTATTTCACAAATTTGGAAAGCTAACTAATTTAATCCCTTAACTGCCACGGGCGTATATATACGCCTTGCTCAGCCGATGCGTTAACTGCCCCAGATGCGCAGCCGATGTGTTAACTTTGCGAATAATTTTAGGTGTAGCAGCGCAAAGCAAATGATAGCAGTTTGGAAGGACGTATATGTACGCCTGGGGCAGTTAACGCATCGGCTGAGCAAGGCGTATATATACGCCCGCGGCAGTTAAGGGGTTAAATGAATTTGTAGTCCAAAAGGCCAATTTGCCCAGAAGGACTATTTATTTTATTTTGGCATTTTGCGTTGATTCACTATAAATGTTGGTTCAATTTTCAAATTGTTGCACCATATATTAGTGCCTTGTATTATATTTAAAGAAATTAAATAATGAAGAATCTGCATAACACAGGGTTCACAGAGGTGCAAGATCAGTAGAAACAGCTACCATCCCTGGTAGCTAAAATGGCCCTTACCCGGTTCGGCATGGAGTTGAACTGGGCTTCGATGACAGAAACGCTCAACTCATTCCATGCTGCTTCAAGTCTGTGCTACACTTCATCAACCGTATTCGAGTTTAAAAGTTCAAAACTTAAAACGCACCCTTCAGATTACGGGAAAGGTGTTGTGACTCACTTCGCCCCTGAATTACCACCATCCATAGAGGGCCCGGGCTTCATGATTTACATGGATGGGTCGAAGATGGACAATACAGTCGGCAGCGCATATACAGTTTTCCATAATGGCACTGAAGTGCAAACCTGGAAGTGCCATTTGTCTCCGCACAATTCGGTCTTCCAGGCGGAAGCCCTTGCTTTGCTGAAAGCAATAGAATGGGCACAAACTACCACAGCAGAAGATTTTACAATCTATACTGATAGCCTATCGGTACTATACGCCATCAACGACCCACGCCACACCTCCCCACTCGTGTCCCAAATTCAGGAGACACTAAGAAATACGAGTCCGGTCCAAAAAATTGAAATCTCTTGGGTAAAAGCGCACGTTGGTGCCCAGGGCAACGAACGCGCAGATACCCTGGCAAAAGAGGCAGCACAGGGACCGGGGATGCGGTGCAAATAGACCCACCTTTACCAAAGTCACTTCTCAAGCGGCAGACTTGGCAGTCAGCTCTGTCGCAGTGGCAGCAGGAATGGAACACGTCACCACAGAGTCGGCGAACTTTCGAATTCATACGAAAAGTGGACACGGAACGACTCATATCTGCGCCCTTCTTAACAAGATTCATCACAGGACATGGGCCGTTTCCGACCTACTTCGCAGAGAGAAATATATCCTCCACAGACCTATGTGTCTGCGGAAAAATCGGGTCCCCCGACCACTACCTGACGGACGGAGTGTCAACTCACCACACAATGGCACGTTAAACTCCCGTCGAATAATGTGGCCGCCTTTAAAAGATTCGTGCTGAAACAACCACGACTTATGGACAAAATCAAAAAGATCATGGATCACTTAGAAGTACTGGGGCAGGAGCTCTGCAGCCCTGCATAGGTGCCGCACATGCCAGTTTCTGTAACATACGTGGCAAAGTGAGTACCTCGCTAGCATATATGCTCAGCGTGCCACAGATGCATTAACAACGTTCCTCGGCATGCACTGTACCCATCGTACATGCACCAAGAGAATAATGCATAGATAAGTGTATAGTGCAGTCAAGTAGAATTCTCAATTTACATCCGCCTGTCTTTATGTACATCTCTACCAGGCAAAGCGCAAATTTCTAATGTCATATTGCAAGTTTTAAGATTTGCACATACAGGCTTAACCCCTGTAAGCCATTTGTTATTCACATTAATGTGCACTTCATAATATGTCGAATCCACGTAGTATTTAGTGTTCTCATATGCGTATATGCCTGCATATTTCAGTGTATTGCATTCACGTGTATGTAACAGTAGTATAGTATAATTGTTTAATCTTATTTACGTGTACTGTATTCACGTATTATCAGTGTATTGTATCCACGTGTATGTTACAATAGTATAATTGAATAGTTGTATAATCTAATTCACGTGTATTTTTGTGTACATGGTACTTACGTATCAGTGTCAATGTATATCAGTGTGTAAAGTATATTAGTGTGTCGCATTAATGTGCATTGGTGTATTGTGCCTATATTTTAGTGTATCGTGTATTAGTGTTTAGTATATACGTGTATAGTATATTAGTGTGTCGCATCTATGCACATTGGTGTATTGTATCTATCTTTTAGTGTATAGTATATTAGTGTGAAACATTTATGTATATTGACGCATCGTGTCATTGGTTTATTGTGTCTATAAATATATTCTAGCATCATGTTGTCATGTTTCAAGATCTAAGAACATACAGAGTAACACCTGTAGTAGTACTGTGTATTATTAATATTTACACAAAAGTGTATTTTAAAATATATAGAATTTACGCAGTATCTATGTGTATCAATACTTAACTTTTTTATATATTGTAACTTAGCGTACGTTTCTACCTATCTCAGTGTATTGTATCCACGTGTATGTTACAGTAGTGTAATAGAATAATTGTATTATCTTACCTATGTGTATTTTTGTGTACATGGTACTTATGTATTAGTGTCAATGTATACTAGTGTGTCGCATTGTGTGCGCCACTGGTGTATTGTGTCTATCTTTTAGTGTATAGTATATTAGTGAATTATTGTATAGTATACTGGTGTATAGTATATTAGTGTATAGAATACTGGTGTATAGCGTATTAGTGTGTCACAATTATGTGTATTGGTGTATTGTGTCTATCTTTGAGTTTACAGTATCTTAGTGTGTTGCATTATGTACATTGACGCATTGTGCGATTACACGATCAGGTCTATTTGTAAATTACTATATTTATGTCTATTTAAAGTTTCAGCTACAGATAGTTGCAGGGTCTGGACAGCACCCGAGTAGTCATTGTAAGCCGTCCGGGTGTCCGGCCCTGCTGTCACCTGTCACCTGTGTATTGAGGACAATCTGAACACAATGTGCAACATGTTATCTTGCATTATTTTGTTGGAAGATGGTGTTTGGCAAGCCTCAAAGATAGGGCACAACCACTGTACATAAGATTTCAGTAATGTACCGATACGCGTTCAAATTACTTTCAATCTGAACTAGAGATGTGTGTTTCATGTACCCAATGGCTGCCCAAACCATCACGCCAAGTGCAGGGTTCGTATGCTGATATCGAATGCAAGCAGGCGACATGCAGTCTCCTCGTAGCCTCTAGACACATATACAACCATCAGAATACTGCATGCAGAACTAGAACTCTTGTGGAAAGATGACATTGTGCCACTCCTGTATCCACATTTGTCATTTCGTGCACCAGAGTCGCTGTCCCTCTCTATGCTGCATTGTCAAGGGAAGCCAAACTAATGGTCGTCATTAGTTCACGCTGCTGCAAACATCGACACATCATACGAGCAGACATGCCCATTTCCTCACTAATGATCCATTGTGTGGTTGTATGTTTTTGCAGAGCTGACCTCATAATATGTCTGTCCTCTCAAACGTTAGTCAGGGGAGGGCATTAAGATCCTGCATGCCGTTCAGTATGAGCCTCAGCAACCCATTGATTCCATATTTGCATGATAGTGGCTGGATGTTGACCAGTGTGACAGGCAATATCACGAAACAATAATCCACACTCTCTGTGGGCAATGATCCATCCTCTGCCGTGACACTTGCTGGAAAGCATTTCTTTTTATTATTTGAGGCATAACATGATATTCTGAACAAATTATGACTTTACAAAGTGGTTTCCGAATGAGTACACAACTTTTCTTTTATGCAGTGCTCCAGATGTTGTTTCTCCCTCCTGTATTTTCTAAATGTGCTGAATTACTAATCATTTTCATATCCCAACCTCTTCTTCCTTTCATGTGATTTTGACGTTTGTCAGATCATTCCTTCCTTGTGCTGCAATTTTAAATGGAGTGCAGAGCAGCAGCAAACCTTACAGATTTCTTCTATTGACAAGTTGATTGTTAGCAATCATGATTAAAGATTAGGACCATCAGGCATAAAATAACAGGGGTTGTAATAATAAGGAGTTGTTCATATTTCTTTTAATAAAAAAGTAAAAAATTTAACACAGAGGAAATATTGTAATATACCATATCAAGCATATGGCTCAGAATATATTTTTCTTCTAAGCCTAACTAATGGTAAAGTGTATAAGCCCATTGAACACTGGTAATTCATTCTGAGTTTGGTTTTTGTTGCCTTGGAAGGTTGGCTGATGAAAATTTTGTTGTTCTATTGGTGTGTGAGTAGCAGCTAATTTTTCTGAGAAATTGCTCCATGAAAGCAGTTCTCTTGGCAGTTAGTTCTTAATTAATTTTCTGTATTTTCTTTTGAAGCATATGTTTAAAATTATTCTTCCCTGTGTTTATTATTATTATTATTATTAATTTTATATGTATCATGGTAACTAACTTTCTTATTTTTCAAATCAGGAAAGTTCCTAGTCTCAAACAAAAACTGGCTGGGAAATCAATTCCTTTGGAAAAGTATGTTGTAAGAAAAGCGAACAAATATAATTCACAGGGTGGTCGTCTTATTGTTCCTGCACTGGTATGTGTGATTTGTAATTTTTAATGTGAAGATACTAAAAATTTCCAGTGAATAATAGCGATTTTATCATTTGTATTTTATATCACATAAATTAGATTACATCTTGAATAATTTTTATTTTGGTCTCTTTTAGGAGCTTGTTTATATATGGAACAGTTTTCCTATGATAGCAAAAAATCGTGAACTCACACAAAATATTTTGTGTAGAGTCAATAATGTGTATTCTAGTCTAGAAGATGCCAAAGGTATAAGATGATATTTAATATTTTTAGAAATAAAATTTATATTCTTTAAGTAAGATTAAACTTTTACTGTTAGTAATCAGTCAATAATATTTGTATCCAGTCGTGTGTATTTGTGGAATATTTATATTCATATTATTTCATCATAAATGAAATCTGTTTAAAATAATTCAGACTTTTACATTTTTACCATTATGTAAAAAATAGACTTGGTATTTGAGCAAACTTTTGTGTCTGGATACAAGTAAAAGTCAAGATAGGATCCTAAGCAAGAGGTTTGCTGCGCCAGCATTATTTGGCTCTAAACAAAGTGAAGCATAAACTCCCTCGCTTGTTTGGTTTATGTGTTACCTTGTACTACAGGCATCTCTCTGTAATATTTTATGGTCACTTTCTTACATTTCTTCATATGTGTGTGAACTTATTTTGCCATTATTATTAAGATACATTTAGAATTTAATACATATTTACAATTATTATTAAGATACATTTAGAATTTAATACATATTTACAATTATTATTAAGATACATTTAGAATTTAATACATATTTACAATTATTATTAAGATATATCCATGTCCATGGGTTCTAAGAATATGAGTAGTGTGAAGAAGTGGATGATGTCATAAGAATTAAAACATGAAATCATAGATAAACTTGAGGGAAATGTGCATGTTTTCAACTTAGGCTAGTAGTATAAGCATAATACTTCTATTTTATGTACAATATTGAAACAGAACAAAGCAGTAGAGGCTATAATGACAGCCAAAGGCATTACAACAATTTTGAAACTGTGTATTACTGTAAGTGATAATGGACAAGCTGCTGTTGGTGTGGCTGAAGGAAAAGCAACTCAGATACTGTGACCAGGGCAATAATGTGCAAGAAGGCATGAGTTATATACACTGATTTGCTGAAGAAACTTGGACTTTTCAAACAATGAATCTGTCAATATTATTTGTTTTCTACATAATACAGTGTATTTTTTCTTATTTAGAAACATGTAACAGTAAATTGAGGTGTTTATTTGGGATACTAAACCAAATTAATGGTATTTAAATGTTATTTCAATGGGAAAATGATTTCAAGATACATCAACTTATTCAACTCTTATGAAACAAATTAAATTCATATGCTGAGGTACCACTGTATATTTATTGCCATCCTCTTATTAATTTTTGCCAGTTAGTTCTTCAATTGCCTTTTTAGTGTCAGTTACATTTTTATTTAAAAAAATGCCTTCTTTAGTATTGAATCGGATATATTTCTTGTTTCAAATGTAAATTTTTAAGTGTTTTTTTTTAATAGGAATTACAATCTTGCCTCTCAAACCAATGAATTATTTTGATACCAAAATTTTAAGGCGGTTTTTAGATTTTTTGTCTAAAAGAAACAAAACCATGTTTCATTTTGTTACATTAAAATTATTATGTTCCCTTTTCTGCAGTGAATGGGCAAGAATTTATTATCTTGTATTTTTCTGGAAGCATTTGTGTTTTTTCTTCTACTCCATGATTTGTTATGTTATCCTTTATCCAGTATATGTGACTTGCTGCCTAGATGGGAAGGTGGTTTGTGACTCTGACTGCCATATCGAAGGACCCAGGTTCGAATCCCAGACAAGGCATGGATGTAATTTGTCTGTCTCTACATAGAAGGGAATGGTGATTCACCTATTAGGTGGCTAGTAGTGGCCAATGCCTTAGTTAACTAGAGCCTGCCATTAAGAGGAGAAAAAATTATATGTGACTTAGTTTAATAATGCTTCATTATCTTTTGAATTTATGTTGCTGGGATGTCCGATGCTTTATTAACTTGTCTGAAAACTTGAAGCAATAGTTATAAAACAAATTAATTCTTACTTCTGCATGAAGCTACATGAGCTGAATTCTGAGCATTCTATAGATCCAAAGTTATTGCATTATTTAATTTTTCAATTTTTCTTGAATATATGTCTCACAAATTGCTTTTAAAATTCATGAAAGTGACTCAAACTAAATAATATGCTATAAAATGCAATTTTAAGTATTTATTTTAGTATTTCAATACAAAATAAATCCAGAATTTTGTACCAAAAAATAATTGGAAAAGGGAGAAATTCTTTTTATTATGGAACTGCCTTGCGTACACTTGCAGGTGCAGAGATCCTGCCTATATAGACAAAGAGATCTTGCTTATAAATCAAAAAGATCTTGCCAATACATTTCGGCAATTCTTTTAATAATGACATTATTTTAAGCCTACTTGTGTGTATAATATAAAGAGATTTTGCTTGCATACCTGGAGGAGCAAGAACAAGTGAAAGGTGTTAATTAGAATTTTAAGTGAAATTTTTTGTAAACTTATAAATAGGTTATTGTTCAGCCAAACAATTTTATTAACATCAATAAAGCATTATGAGTACGTGTAAAATAATAATTAAAAAAATTGTTGTAGTATTTTTCAAAAAATTAATATGTAATTAATTGACAACTTAAGGAGTTATTATTTTAAGTTAAATATTTTTCCCCTGAAAAGTTATGTTTGAAGCTTAATTGCACTTATCAGTAAATTGTTTAGAAGTAATCATCTGAGCATTTTTCTTTGTAATTGATTATTTATGAAAGTAAACTTTATGAAAATTATTTGTGTGATTTATTAAATCTTGTTTTGTTTTCACAGATGTGGAAAATACACCTTTGGATGATTATTGTCTTATTTTATTGATAAGAGGTGTTTGTTACACCAGTTTGGGCCGTAACATGCAAGCAGAAGATTGTTTTAGGGAAATTATATCATGGTATTTTTTTAAATAAGTGCATTTTTGTTAATTATTTTATGTGTTCTTTTTTCATAAAAGCTTTTCTTTCAAATAATGCAATAATAATTTCAAATAATTTCCAGGAAAAGATTTTATTGCAATAGTCAATTATTTATTAAAAATTTACTTATTTGCATTAAATGACTTAATATTTAAGTAGTTATATGTAACATTTAAAGTTTTTTTTTAAATGTATGGTAGATTTTCGGATGTTGCTGTAATTCAAAACAAATTAACAAAATCTTTAAAATTTACAAAGGCTATTTCAAGTTAAACATTGTTTTTCTGGAAAAACTGATTTTATTTCCCAACGGAGTCTTCACTGACCACTTAGTTCAGTGATCTTCTGCTTTTTCATTCAATTAGAAACTAAGATGTGCTGTTTTCATTGATGAGCTACCAAATTTTTGTATCTTTGAACTGCTTCTCCTTCATTGTGGTTGGACTTTTTTTTTTTTTTCTTAAAAAATAAGAAGCGTCTTGATTTTCAATGCAGCAAGGAAAACAGTATTCCTTCGTACATTCTGCTAATTGTACATCTATAGTAATATTATTTTGGTTTCATTACATAATTCACACTGAAGACTAAAGATGTTGTTTTGTTACATTATGCTCCTTTATTTCAAAAGAGAAGGGAAAAAAGAACACTTCAGGCTTAGAAAATATAAAGCTTCTAACCTGCTAGGGACATCATTTCTTAGGACATGTTAAAGAAACCATTGCTGAAAATCAGCATCATACAGTTCAGGAACTTGCAGACAATGTTTTGAAATGTTTTGAAAAGTTAATATATGACCATTTGAGTGGTTGAGTATGTAAACTGCTATGATTTTTTTACCCCCATAATTTTTGAAAGCAGAATATGGGTGCTTGAATTTCTGAATTCAATTCTTTTTTGAAATAAAATGTGAAAAAGCTCTTTTTTGGGATGGTTTACCTTTGCAGATGAGAAGTGGATGCTATGCAATAATGTTGAGCAAAAAGAATCACAGAATAAGTTAAATGATTCTATGGAATCCTGATGTGGGTTTCATCTAAAAAAAAAAGTGATGCTGTTCCCATGATGGAACTTTAAAAGAGTAATTTATTTCAAATGTTGCTATCTAATCAGACCTTCAATTCTAGGGGGAGGGAACTCTCAGACTGGAGATCTAAGAGCAGAAAATGATGCAAAGTGTTTAGAAATAACTAATTATTGAAGTGTTGTTTATCATCATAACAATGCTTTGCTCTGTATTTGAATGAATGTTGACAGTGATTTATTGTGTTTGGCTGGAATTTTTTTTTTTTTTTTTTTTTTTTTTTTTTTTTTTTTTCATCCTTCATATTTACCTGATCTTGCCCCATCAGATTTTCATCTGTTTTGATTACTTCAAAACTGTCTGAATCGGTCTGCAGTTAATTTTTTTAAAACTGTCAAATGAGATTTTGGTGGAATCCTTACAAATAAATCTAAAGACTTCTTTTAGAAGGGAAATTTCCAGTTGCTAAAAAAAAAGTGCATAAGAATCACTGAATAAAATAGTGGTTCTGTTATTCAATGAAGGTTTCTACTGTTTCTGTGTTATTTCATAAATATTTACCATGAATAAATTGCAGAATTCTTTAGATGACCCAACAGCATTAGTCAGAAGTTCCAAAATACACTATGAAAGTACTAATGACATGCTTATTTGATGAGTATTTCTTCCCACTGAGCTAAATATTCTTAGTAATAAGAAATTATTTTGGAACATATATAAAATGGTGGATGAAGAAATAGTTCAAAGCACAATTCATGTAATTTAGCCATTGTGATGGTTAATTTGTGGACCAGTGTATTATGTTGAGAAAAGAGCACTTTTTATGCACCAATTTTGAATTTTTTGTTTTACATTTTTTTCAAATGGACCAGTAATGTTGTATAATACATACAGCCACATTAACCATTAAGCAAAATAAGCACATGCTTACAGCATCAATAAAACGGTTCTGACAGACTCAAGAAAAGGGGCACCACAAAAATTTACCATTGCAGGTTTTACTATGTATGGTGCAGTTAAACTAAGACCAAGAGAGATGGAAAAAGTAACCATAAATTTATGCAAGGGCATTAAAGTTCTTTAAGTGCTTAGTGCTTTTAAATACGTTAATCTGGCCCTGATATTAGGCATTTGTTATTGCTTCTCCCTTCTCCAAGTAGTTAACCTTGATATCCATTGGGAATCCAAAGAAAAGCACTTTGTCTGTCACTTTCTCACTAGACAAAACAGTCTTCACCTTCTCTGAACATTTTCACCTTTTACTGTCCTCTGCTTTGACTCAGGTGTATAATGGTAAATGGTATATGGGTTTCATCCATAATCATAAATTGATGCAAAAAGTTCAAAGATTGTAGTTAAATATCATCAAATATTGATTTGAAATCTCTTTTCATGGGCATTTTTGGTCTTTCAACAACCACAGCACCCATCATATACGATTTTTGTCTGTAAATAATAATAATAATTTTATTATTATTATTGTGCAGATATTTATTTGTGAGTCTACACTCAGCAGTTTCACACACTTTAATTCTCTGGTTTTCTGTAATGATATTTACGGACTGTTTTCACTAATACCAGTCATGATGGATTCAGCTGGATGTTCAAAATGCATTTCATTTTCATTTTTGACTATGTTTAAACTTAGTTATCAGAAATAAATTGCTGTCATTGCTTGTGCAAAATCTTCATGAATTTTACCCAGCTCTGTTTGATATGGATAATTCTTTGATTAGTTAAATAAAAGTGTTTTATCATTGCAGAGAACTTTTTTTAACTACTACAGTACTTATTTAAAGAGTCTGTAAAAACATTAACAGAATGCTGCTGTTATGTAAAATTTTCCCCAAGTCAAGAATAGCTAAAATTTGCCTGCCTAGTGAGTGGCACATCCAGAAGTCAGAGTACCATCCCATAAAAATTTAATAAACTTATCAAATAACCTTCAAGGATAAAGTCTTTATTATGTATCAGATAATTATCTCATAGTTGAAAAGATGTAATACTAGTGAAATATGAATTTCTTAATACTATAGTTTTATTTTATACCATTAATGTAAAAATTATTGAAATTTTAGAGTTTTCAATTTATTGGATGGAAAATTTTTATTCTGCATATGAATTTTAATAGTAAAATACCAAGTTTATTATTCATCCTGAAGAGTAAATATATTAATCTTTCTGAAATATTTAAGAAAGAATTAAAATCATACTTTTTAATTATGCGTATTGTTTACATTATAAAATTACTAAGCAGAACAAACTATTTGTAGGGAAATCTTACAGTTGTTTTGCATACTAAGTTTTGTATAATACTCATATGAACATGTATAAGAATTGCATTCCGTGAATGCAGATGTAAATTAACTTTTGTTGCTTACACTGTGTGCAATTATTATATCACTTTTTCATAGTTATTGCCACATAAATAGTTATGTCAGGAGCATAAACAAGGACATTAATCAAAACATATAAATGAGTCATTTTTTAAAAGGACAGAATCTTTCTATATTTAAACGAAAAGATTCAAGTTTTTGCAAAACATATTCACCTGAGTGTATTTAATATTAATATCTTTAGTATTTCAGTCTTTTTTATTTCCATAAGTTGATTGATTTTGAGTAATCATTCTCTATTAAGTGTAAGTGATGAATGTTTTATTGTGTTTTGATTCCATGTGTTACCAACTTGTGCTGTCATGTACAAAATATTTTTTTTATAAGACAATGTAATGAGAAATGTTTTGCTCAAAGGAAATATTTTATTTTATAGTGAAAAAAGAGTGAAAGAAGATATATATATTATCCCATTTGCTATGACTGAATTAGCTCTCATCAAATTGCAGCAGGCAAATGGACTAGAGGCAAAAGAACTTCTGGAACCTGCAAGGTAATTTGTTAAGAAACATTTGTAGCATGAAAGTTTGTTTCCATTGCATGTAAATATAGAATTCTTTTTCTTTTTCCTGACTCTCTGAATACAGTTACATTAATTCTGTCTTTATATGAGGGTTGGGGCAAAAGTCATGGCAACTATTTTTTTCTTGTAGATATGTGAACGGATCACAAAACATATATGCGTCATGTGGAAGTTCTGCAGGCATAGTGTGTATGCAGAACAACAGATGGCTCTGTGATAGCGAGGGCTCTGAATCATCAGTCGGTGAGTGTCATACGAGATGGAAATAAGTGTTGAGCAGCACGCTTACATCAAAATAGCCGTTCTCTGAGGGAGAAATGCGATGGAATGTCACAGTGAATTAGTAGAAGCCCTTGGGAATAATGCCCTACCATATCGTACAGTAGCATGGTGGGTAGGAAAGTTTCAGCAAGGACATGTGCTAACCAGTGATGAGCAACGTTCGGTGCGACCGGTGAGTGTGCGGACCGACTTGGCATGTGCCATCATTGAGCACCTCACGGATGAAGACAAATGATGGATGTTACTGTATTTAGAGAGGGTAAGTGACATTGAGAAACGCACTGTCCACATGCTATTGTGTAATGAGCTACAGCTACGCAAAATCGCATCGTGATGGGTACCGCATGCACTGACAGAAGTTCAAAGGGGGTGCGCTATGCAATATGCTCCGACCACTGTGCATGCTGGCAACAGGACAGCGATCAATTCTTGTCACCGAATAATCGTCATCGATGAATTTTGGGCCAGGGCATATGAACCAGAACTGAAACGTCAGTCCGCGGAGTGGCGACATCTTGGATCACCGAGGCAGCAGAAGGTCTGTCAGAATCCTTCCCCAGTCAAATTGATGGTGATCGTCGCATATGGCGTTATGGGTGTCTTCGTTTGCCACTTTGTTCCTCATGGCAGAACAGTGACCGCACAGTACTACAGGGACTTCCTGGTGCAACAGGTACAACATGGTATTCGGGATAAATGTCCGGATCTTGTGGACAGTGTAATAATTCTGTACGACAATGCAAGACCACATAAAGCAGAGTGTGTACGGCAGCTACTCCGACGTTGGGGATGGGAAGAATTGGAGCACCCACATAATCATGTAGAGGCACATAATCATGTGTGGAAGATTAATTGTACTTCTTTAATGGAATGGAAGAATAAACCAGCAGTAAATGTTGCTGTGATCCAAGCAATTACAGCAATTTCTTTGAAAACTTCTGGCTTAACTTTCTGTATAATGTACAAAAATTTAATCATTACTCTTTAGCTGTAGACTGCACTAGCAAATGTGATATTTTTGTGTAATGGTTCATGTGTCTTCTACCAGAGTTGGTAGCTAATTCAGTAAAACCTGTAATGCAGTAATCTGTTTGATGTTTTCCAGCTTGCAGGAACCTTCAGAGTTGAAGGCGAAACAATTTACTTTGCATTTCTTTTTATCCTTCCACATATATTTATTTATTATTCATTCTGAAAACAAAAATCATTCCGTAATAATAATAATAATAATAATAATCAAAAACTATATTCTCTTACTAATGGCATGGTATGTATTTATTTTCTATTTCTATATTTATAGGCATAATTATCGGGGTTATCCTCTGGAGACTATACTTCACTTCCGTGTGCACTCAATTCTACATCAGCTACGTGCCAAAGGTCATGTGATCCCTACACCATCTCCGAAATCTACTCCTTTACATTCACCTGATCCTTCGCCTAATCGCAGTGGGGAGATTCCAGAGTTCCCTTATCTCAAAGAGAGTCCTACTTTGCCACCTAAACGAAATCTTCTTCACCCTCCTGCTGATCTGGGCTCCTGTGTTTCTCTGCCTTAGTCACAATTTTTTGTTGTTTAGTATTCACAAGTACTATATGACTCACCCATTCAGGTGGTGACAGCCTTTTATTGATGATAAATATTATTGTAATTATTGACATAAATTTGGATGCCTTGATAATATATAATGCAAGATATACAAAATTATGTTTGTATAGTGCAGTATAATGGATAGTAGGAAGAGGAATTAATTTCATAAGAGACTGAATATTTTTCTAATTATATTCTGATTTACTGCTTTAAAAAAACAGTGTAAAAATACCTCTTCTTTTGTTCCATGGCATAACTCATAGCCTAGGTGCTATTAGAATTGTCATACTGTAAGAGATACTCCCGCCCATATTGGTCACAATTAAATTTAGTGCCTTGATGCTTCAATTATCAGAAAGTTATTTAAATACCTGCAATGTTTTACTGTAAACAATGCATATTTATCAGAAATATAAATCAACCTTAGGAGGAATATTTATTGCTTTTTTCTTATTTAAACTGAATGTTAATATAGAAGAAATTAGTATCAAATATTATTTTGCCCAAATGAATTTTTGTGATTAAAAATGGACTGCTTTCTCATTTTCATGCATTCAGTTTGTGTTTTTAGTTTCAAGTTTAGTTTTGCAGTGGTTGAAGTTTTAATACCTAGAGAATTATTAGTTTAATGTAGGATTGTGTATTAATTTCACAGTATTATGCAAGGCATGTTTTGTTAAATCTTGTGTTCTAAAATTATTTTCAAATTAGATAACAAGAAATTGAAATTTATGGTTTAGGAATATGCATAAAAGGTACAGAGTGAATTTGTTGCATTGTTCTCATCTTCAAAATAACATCTTATTTTAGACCGTTCAAAACTGTATTAGTTTCTAAAATTTAGTACATAAAAAGAAATATCTTATTATTCACTTTCAGAAATAAGCAATCAAATGGGTGACATTCGAATTTAATACTAGTATACCAGATGTTTGAAAAAAATTGGCTGTAGACTTTATTTCCTTTAATTACAAAGTTTCTTAAAATTAGAATAGAGAATTTCATGAAGATATTTTCAGTGCGTAGGTGGGAAAAAAAATTTGATTTTTTTTTTTATATGGGCCTGTACAGTAACTATTCTATATAGCGTATGGCTTAATTTTTTAAATTTCTCTACCATTATGTGCAATATTCACTGCAGTACAATTAATAAACATTTTTACCCAATATAAAGGGGCCATCTAAAATTTAACAGTGGGTTTTGTATTATCCGAGGCAGAACAAGTAATTACAAAACAAGCAGCTTTTGTTTTGTAGCTGTTGCATTAATGTGTTCTCAAAAGTCTGGAATTTGAGGTCACGTACAAGAAAATAATCAAAGTCAGCAAATTGTTCTTGAATATTTCTAAGAATCTTGTACATAAGGTGTGAAATTTTTGAACTAATTGAAGCATTAGAAATTTTTCTTATGTCATTCATATAAAAATACTAGCTTTTATTTTTTAGAATTTTAACTTACAGTATGAGACTGTTTTCATAAAATGCTTCACTTATTTAAAAGAACTTTGTAATTTTAAGTGTACATCATCGGTATTTAAATAAATAAAACCTGCAGCTACCTTTTTTAAACATCCTGTATGTAATGATGAAAGTTAAATTTGTGTTGTTGTAAGACTTTTTCTTTTTGATAAAACAGTATTCTGGAAACTTGTCTTACACTGCATAAGTTTTGCATGCTAACTTAGCTGATGTATTTGAAGGTTGTCAACATCTGAATAGTATTTGTAGTAAATTCAAGCAGCAATAAATTAGCTGCCTTTGCATTTATTACCAAAGACAACTTTATGGTAATCTCTGTGATAGTTATCACATTTATATTAGTATGTAGCAGTGTTTAGTATTTGGTGTTCCTCCTTTAAAATGTTTGATGTATTTTTGTCTCTTATCAGAATTTATTACCTTAATTATCACATTATATATTAATATTATTAAAACAAATTTTAGATAATAGCTTGTTGCAACTACTTATTTTCTCTTCTCGAAGTTGCACGAGTGCATGATTATGCCATACAATTATGTTTTATTATTATTTATTATTAATGCAAACAGGGTTGTAAATAGGCAGCAAGCACTTAACGGTTCACATAAAATACACCATTGTAGTAGCTTTTTCAGTCCGAAAAATACTATATGAAAACATTTCTTAAATTGTTTTCCCTTAAAATGATGAGAACTTGAAGAGAAGTAATACTAATAATAACATTTTGTATGTTACAAAAAAGCAGGTCATGTGTTATTCCATATTCATTACCAGCATATATATCTAGCTGCAAAGTTTCTTAAAATAAGGTGTACAGAATTGTGTGAAAATACGGTCTTATCATTATAGGTCTGAGGTTTCTTTAAATTATTCAGTATACTGTAAGAAATTTCTGTATAATATATGCAAAATTTATGCCGACTTTTTAAAAGAATTTACTGACATAATCATTTTCTCTGCCATTTTTACTCATATTCAAGACATCTGAGAACAAATTTAAATAGCAGCTACATAATGAAGCTGTGGTTTGTTGATTAATGATTTTATCTGTCATAGAATAGCATCCATCAAATTTTAATTTTAAATTGGCCCCTTTGTTTATTGGGCATATCTTCCTGAATTCTGCAGTTAAGGATTTTTTAAACTAAAGTATAATGAGTATTTTACTAACTGGAATTCTTATAGAATTCCCACACAGTTCAATATACTATATAATAAAAAAGGAATAGAAGGTTTTTAGGGAAGACTGAAAAAAATTGCTTGAAAGAATTCATTGATGGCAGCTTTCTTCTATTCATTAGATAAACAAAGTGTGTGATATTTTATTGTTCTTTTTTCATGAAAATAAATATCTTATTTCATAATTTAACCATAAATTTTCAACCATAATTTAATTTGGATTAAAGAAATTTTATTTTATTACTAACATATATACACAAATATTGAGTTTTTGAAATTCAAAATCATAAAGTGTCTAAAAGTAGTAAAACATTTTCAAATATTTCACAATCTTCTATTAAATAAAATAAAAGGATAGATGTCAGATTAAAACTTAAAGGAAAAATACTTTCTAAACATACAGAGAAGTGTTAAAAAGAAAATTATACAGTTGATTACATATAATGTAATCAAAAACTTTGAAAATAATGTAAAATTGATGAAAATTTTAATCTAATTTATTTATTATTAAGTTCTCTCATAGTTTTTAAAATTTCTAATTAAAACTGAGAATAACACTTTTTAAACTTAAGCCCTATTTCCAACCCTGGTGAATACTTAATTTCTCTGGTGTATTTAATATAACTGGAATGACATTTTCAGTACAGAATCTCAGTCAAGTTATTTCTGTTATACAGCTACAGCAATTTATTCCTTTTTTGGAAACTAAAAATTTATTTGTAATTTAATGCAGTCTAACTCATTATAAACAATGATTTAATAATTTTGTTCCAAATTATATTTATTAGGATGTTTTTGTTTTCATTTCATTGTGTACAAATGTAACCTCCTAAATGTTTTTTCCTTCATTCATGTATTTGCAAGAAATAATTATACTAATGGGTAAAGTGTTATATAGAATAGATAATTTTGTTACTTTCTACAACATATTAAACTTACTGTCACATTTTTAATTATCCTTCAATCCAAACATTTTGGGATGTGAATTCATACATTACAGATGTAACACAATAGCTATCGAAAATCAATGTAATTGAAAAATAGCTTCATAAGTCATTCATAATTTCAAACCTTAATGCATGCAAGTGCTATCTTTTAACTAAATATAACATGTATATATACATATTTATCTAATTACTACAGTTTTTAGAAAGTTTATTTTACTATACATGTAAATCCGTATAGAAACTAGGCCCTTAAAAATATTTTATATACTTGTATATGACCTGAAATATCTTTAGGAAACATATATATTTTCAAATATAGTAACTTAATAATTTAAACTTGTTGTTAGAATTCTGATGTTTAAAAGGATAGCAAAACTACAATATGTTCTTTTATTTTTAGTTTGCAGTTTAATAATAAATTTTACCCAAATTCAGTGGGAAATATAAATTAAATATTTATAAAATCAAAACCATAACTTAAATAAGCTTTTAATTAAACAATTTAAATAATAAACTGTAAATTAAGCAATCTGTTTAAATTAAATAAATTGTCACCAGGTTATCGTCTCTGTTTGGTAACAACTATTGCATTTCTTATGTCTATTCTATCATTTTGATACCATTCATGAAATGCACAACTGCATTCAAAAACTTAATTACACAATATTACAAATAACTTTTTCTTTTCTGACATATTTTGTGCTGTGAACATAAATAACTATTTAAACATGTGTATTTTATGCATATTTTGTGTTTTTGAATGATATATTTTATTCAGATTTAATTAATTTTTTCATTACTTTTAGGATAAATGATGAATAGTAGAATTTCTAGTCATCTGTCTTGAAATATTTGTAAAATATTTTTTATTTACAAATATACATTCTTATAGTATTATCTTTAAAGTTTTATATCTTCTGTATAATATAAGCATTGCTAAATTTTATCACAGAATACATAGACACAACTAGTAGTATTGTGTTTTCGTAAGTGTTGTAGGTTTAGAACTACTGTAATTTTGATTTTTTATTTTTAATCTCATAACACTTTTATATATAGGAATTTTTGCTTAAAAAAGGTTTTTGTTTTTTAAATTAATTTTCTAACACAGTAAAATTTTTAAAAGTCTGTTTTTCATATTCCCAGTTTATTCTAGATAGTAAAAGTGAAATTTTATATAATTTATTCTAGATAGTAAAAGGAATTTTATTTGGATTTGGAAGTCTGACTAGAAAAGGACATCATCAAATGTCCCCCTTTCCTAAAAAAACTGTTGTCATTACAATAAAGAATTTTCAATATTGACTGTTTACACAACTATGCTGTCAAAATAGAATCTGAAACATTTTGAACTGTAAACAAATTTTGTTTTGCTTACAAATAAATGTAAACAAAACATGCAATCAATATGCAGGGGAAAAATTCTAAATTTTGTTGTTATTCTGTATGGACTGTTATTTGTAAATTAATATGTCTGTTTTAAAGTTATGCTATTTTTAATGGTAAATTGGAATAATACTTCAGTTTTGGTTTATGTCTTCTGCTTTTCAAGAAAATTATAAAACTACTAGTATAAAAAATAAAGTTTGTTGTCTATGTCACCAGTACTATTATACTAAAAATGCAATTGCATTAACATAACGAAAATCAACTGTTGTTTTTATATTTTATTCATTATTTTCAAAATATTTGTTGTTATTTAAAAGAAAATTATGAAATCTAAAATGTGTAGCTATATAAGTAGTTTATGAAATTTAAATATGTAGCTGTATAACTTATGCAAGTAGAACATTCCATATGCCACTTTTTTTTTTTCTTTTAGATCATTATCATCCTAATATAGGCCAATTTTAAAGAGGTCACTTCTTTTTGTACTTAATTATGTTATTTAAAATAAATAATGTGATATTTTTAAGATTCTCTCATCAGTTTAAGTATTTCATAAGCTTTTAAAATATTGGTTTTTAATTACAGTAATTAGAATTTGTGTGTGTGTTTGCATTTTATTCTTTTAGTTTTATGTAATTATTGTATATTATATTACCTGAATTTTATTATCTCCCTTTGTTCACGTATAAATTTGTGTTTTCCTTATATTGCTGTTATATCCATTATGCAAAACAATATACTTATTCGGTAGAGTTTTAAATGCAATTTAAATTTATATGCTGTTTAATGTATTCCTGAAATTTTATTTTTAGCATGCAAATAATTAAATTTTTACCTAAATCAAATCTTTTTTATATTTCAGTAAAGAATCTCATTAGGATCTTCAATTATGTAATGTGATGCTTTATTCTTTACAGTTTATATGAACATATTTTGTTTACATAACATTATTAAGCAAACTATTTTATTCATTATGTGCATGGTATACCATATATGACTGCAATTAAAATGTTATTAAAATTGTGTTAGTTCAAAATTAAGAAACATGTATTATTAATCCTTCACATTCAGTAGACACTTTCAGTCATTACTAAGTGTGTTGCATCGAAGTTCAAATTATTGTCTCCTTTTTAATGTAAACGATAGGCATTTTTTAAATCTCTCTTTTCAAAACCATACTAAATTTCATTGCTGCATCAAATTCCCAGTTTAAATTGTATCTTTTAAAGAAGTTTAACAAAATAAGAACACTTTCTGTCAAGTAATTTTTATATCATTATATATCTATTTTGTTAAATCAGTTAAAAAATAGTAATGGTAATAATGGTAATTATGCTACTTTTATGTGCTTGAATTTCTTAAAAGCAAGAAGTAAAGTTCTGTTCAGAATAGACATTTCTCAAATCAGTACAAATGGTTTAATCTATGCTTAATGCTTTAGAAACAGCCATCCATACACACATTACATTTCTCATCAAAATATAATCTGCAATGATGCATATTTGATCTTTAGGATTTCCTATTCAAATAGAATATTGTCTTTATCAATGTTTTTATTTTTCATTCAACAAAAGACAAATTGCACAATTTTTGTTTTAATGTCACAGTGCTGAATTTATATTTAACGGATTTTATTCCTGATAAATTTGAAAATACATGCTAGATGTTAATAATGCTAAAAAGAGTTTAAATATATTATTCACATAAATATTTTGATTATTTTTAACATGAAATATACTGTTCTTTGTTTCTTTAAGAGCAAACTTTTATTCTGTTATTGCATAACAGATCATTCAAATGTATATAAAGCTCTTAATTGTATTTAATTTGTGATGTGTATAGAACAGTATTAAGTATTATATTATTAATATGATTGCATCACTTTTTACATTATTATTTGCTGTAATAAAGAAAATAATAAGTTAATGTTTTCCAACTTATCTGAAATAAAATATTCTTCATATATTAATGTGTGATTAAAAAATAAATTTACAAACGTGATCCAAAATTTGTGTTTTTAATTCATTTTGTATTTTTTTAAAGTCAATGGCCATAATCATAAGTCTACATGAATACATTAAAGATATAGAAGTTACAAAATAGAAAAGGAAGAAAGGCTGTTACAAAGACTTTAATCTTCTAATTAAATTATATATAACTGGGACATTTTTAGTGACCTTACTGAATACATCATGGGTGTTTGCAATGTCTGCAAAATGAGAGAAGCAAGAAAAACGGGATACAAAGATACCTGTAACTTCAATACTGATTTCTCATAATAAAATGAAATACAAAGATGTGTACATACTATATTTTCAGTCAGATCTAATTGGAGCGTAAGCAGATATCCTTGTATGTTCATTACCTTAAGTAAATAATCCAAACCAACTCTGATATAAAGAAGTCAGTATAGTAAATCAGTGTATTATAACAAGCATTTTAGGGATGTGTTAAATTCAGAGTATTTACAAAATTTCAAAAACCAAATTTTTGGAGACAAACTGGAAATCTTAAATATCGTAAGAAGTTCCACTTATGTAACTCATGAATGATATTCACAGGGCCAGTGTCATTACACTGGGAGGCAACACTTTTAAAATTTAGATGAATAACATGCAGCAAAACTTAAGGATAGTATTTTTTTTTTTTTTTTTTTTTTTTTTTTTTTTTTTTAAGTTTAAGAGAGATGTTTGATAACAGAATTAAAAAAATAGAAAGAGTAGAATTTTGAACTGGCAGAGATTACACCAGGTGGCAAAATGCATAGTGCTTGTCTGTGACTATTTATTAAACATACTGTATTCTCAAAGAACCATAAAATGAAATACTTTATATATATATATCTCACTCAAATAAAAGCTGTCATATATGATGTTAACACTTTTATATAATGTTAATATTTTTTTTTTTCATTATCTAAAATTAGATCATTAAATAAGTAAAGATTCCAAATGCTTTCTCCCGTTTTTAAGCCCAAAAAGATGTTAGGCCAGAAAGGCTGTTATTCTCAAAATGGCATTTTGCATCGAATCACTTTTCAAATTGTGTCACCAAATACTACTGCCCTATACTGTATTTAAAGAAAGGGTTTTCAGCGCCCAGGGACAACTGATGATTTCGCACCCCCTATTGCTTGCCAAGGATGGAAAACATTTAATTCTAAAATGTCGTAACATCAGTTTGGCGCCCCTTGGATTCTGCGCCCGAGGACAGATGCCCCCTCTTGCCCCCCTCTATCTACGCCACTGATTACATCCCTCATTTAAAATACTCTTAAAAATAAATATTACATACAATTTATATACCACAGTGTGTAAATGAAGTGACTTAAGACGAATTAAGAATGATTTGCTTCAAAAGGATAACAAAATCTTCACTTTATGAACACTTTACAGACAAAGCAACTAAACAGATTTCTTCCTTCTCTGCGCATTGTTACAGAACCTAATACATACTATATAACAATTGTGTACAATTTAGTAATTTTCATGGAGCAGCAGACAATGTGCTAGCTTATTATTAATTCATCTGTTAGAAAGATTGATTTTTATGATTATCCAATGTGTGGGTTTTGAATTAAATCAATTGTTTGACAGCATATCCTTTTAAAACTTATCGCTAGGTTTTCTTAAAGAATTATTGATTTTTTAGAATATTTATTACCAGCATTGACAAAAACTTGAAACTACTCTGATATGTGCCCTGAAGTCGCCAAATATTTTTGGCGAGAAACTTCATGCTGCCATATTACTATCTAAATTTTTTGTCTACATTTTGAACTTTTAGCCTAAAATGTCTCTAAAAACGCGGTTTTCGCACATGCAAAAACTACGTTTTGAACACACAATTTAGCTAAAAATCCGAAACAAAAACAAAAAATTTAGATAACAAAAACATAAAGTTTCTAACCAAAAATATTTGACAAGAATCCATGTACACAGCGACATGTTTTAACTTAAAAAAACATCTACGAATTGCACAATGTAGGCATCGAACGAATCTACAAACTACGCAGACCTCGCTTTAATAAGTTAACAACAATAAATTTCAAATAATACCATGTACACAGCATTCTGTTTCAACTTTAAAAAACATCTACGAATTGTACAGTCTAGACACTAAACAACAAAATAAATGCAGAAATATAAATTTCATACCGCCTTTAACACGCCGCCACGTAATCACTATCGTATTTACATGACAGCCAGACACACTATCCAGAAAATTTATACTATGGTTCACAAATAAATAAAATCACAAATCCCTACTTCTATCATGCACTGCCATTAAAAATAATCTCCCAAACCCTCTTTCCACAGTTCCAAATACCCACTACCCCTCAACAGGATAGCCACAATCATATTTCCTTTTGCCGAACTTCAATTCAACAATTACCATTTTATCTTTCCCTCCCATCTTTTCAGACACAGAGGCGAACCAAGGAGCTCCAGGGAAAGATTTTCCAACGTCAACAGGGTTGCCATAGAACACACAATCGTGCCAAAACCAGCGCAGAACACATATCGCCACATTTGGTGAAATTAGGGCGTATATTAGAGTTGTACCCAGGATACATTTAGAAACTTCTTTTTTGACACTTTCTTGTTATTTATATGATTGTGACCCAGTTGGAAGATGTTTAAGAGATACTTTACTACCAGTTACACATTTGCTCTTGTGTAATTCATTTAAAAATCAACCCACCACCGGCTGGGTGATGAAGTCGCTGAACACTGGTAGTTTGATTCGGGTCTCAAATTCTGGTGAATGGCCTGGCTGCATGGGCATTTTGTTGGTCTCCCCCACGTGTAACATGTATACAAGCCAGTTTCCCTTAGATAGTCATCCACGAAGGCATCCCTCCCCTTAGGAAGATAGCCCTCTCTGGAAAGCCGAGAAATGCCAAAGAAAGTTAGCAACATTTTTTCAAAAAGTTGGGGAAAATGTGGAACTTCCTACAAATAAAAGGAAGTGTTAAAATAAAATAAGACTTCATAACGTGATTCCTAACAAAAGTTTAAAGCTTCATTTTTTTAAAATTTGTATGATATCTCTTGTAAACAATCATAGGCTAGTGGAATACACCCATAATCATCCCTTATAATAGTTTAAAACTTCTTTTTCTTTAATTTTGCTATTTCATCAAGATTTATTCTCTTTATATTTTCAATTTGTTAAAATTGGACATTAAAATTTTTTTAATTCCAAAACATTTCAAATATCTAAGCTAATTGGCTTACTTTTTGTTAAAAAAAAAAAAAAAAAAATTACACACCAAATGTACAAGAATATTATACATGACACTATTAATTTCTGGTAACATTTATTTGCTGCTCAACTATAGTAATGACTACTATATTTTATAGCTCACAGTATACAAGTTTTCAGTTATCTCGAAGATGATTGAAAAATCCCTATTACTAACTTCAAGCAACTACTAATTAAGTTTTACTATGCACTTCAACTCATCAAACATCCAAAATCTTAATCGAGATTTCTTGTATAGTTAAATTATTTTAACACTATTTATTATTAATTCATGAACAGTTAACAATTTATATGTACCAGATTTATCTATGTTATTATTTTACAAGCTTAAAAAGTTTGATTTCTTATGAATAATAGTCTGAAGAAATACTAATTGTAAATCACATAATTACATTTTTAAAGTATCTAATTTGCAACCTGTACATTGATTATAAAAAACCTGCATATTCTGAATAAATATAAATTTTCAATATAGGCAGCTCCATTAAATAAAGTTTCTGACAATGCTAATAATTTACATACATATAACTTTTAAAAATATTTGCTTAAAAGTCTATATTTGGATTCTTTAATTAATAGTACTCACTCAGTAATTAATACTTAACCATTATTTTTGTTATACTACTATAAAAACCCTTCAAAACAAAGACTTACTTCACAATTTTTCCATTCAAAATGACATTTAAATTACTCAACTTCCAATATCTTTCACAAAGATGCTTAAGACTACAACGTTCAAAACTTCTGTTATATTCATCAACATATTTAAATAATCATAACAATTTCCCCTTTCTTTTTATCACACATTCCACTGCATTTTACAGAAACTTTGTAACCTATCATTGTGTGCTTAATGATTAAATGTGTAAAATATACTTTTCAAAACATGCAGAAACATGAAGAATGAAGATCTCTGACATGCATCAAATACACTTTTCAGAAGATACTAAAAAAATTTCTCATTCATTTTGTTAGTCAAGTACCTTAAAATATTAATAATCGACCAACTTTCCAGACATGAAGAATGAAGATGATCTCTGACATGTATCAAATACACTTTTCAGAAGGCACTAAAAACATTTCTCATTCATTTTATTAGTTAAGTACCTTAAAATATGAATAATTGATTAACTTTCCTAGATTATAATATATGCAATTTTTTAATATTAAATACAGACAAGAAACTCTTATTAATTTTTTTAACTTTATTTGAAATAACAAGCAAAACCAAATATATCACAGTTCTTTCATTCAAAAATTTAACATGAATATAAATAATTTTTTTAAACATTATTTGAAATAGCAAGCAAAACCAAATATATCACAGTTCTTTCATTAAAAAATTTAACATGAATATAAATAATCTCTTTTTACATAATTTCAACAAATGAACAGTAAATTTTTGTAAAACAGCTACTTATATTACAAACAATTTAATACCAAATATATGTTTAGTTCTTTTATGTTCACTTAGTAAATATAAACATATTTAGCTAACCCGTATTTTAAAGTCTTAAATTTCTTACCTAATCGACTTCTTCGACTGTTGGGCCTGAATTAGGAACATTACCAGTATTACCAGCTGCCCCTTGATGTATTTTGGTCATCAGGGGAGATAATTCCCGTTGCGCTTCTTGCAATTTATGGTCAAGTTCATCCTTATCGGCTAATGTATTTAAATCTAACCACTGTATTATACCTTCACAATATTCTTTGACTTTTGCTTTATCCGATGCACTTAATCTTCCTTCTGGAGCTGATTCTGCAGCTTGCTTTACTGAGTAAATATAAGATTCCAAGGTATTTCTTGCAGCAACTTTTTCCTTCTGAGCTTTATCTTCTTTCTCGTATTCCTTAGCTTCTGCCAACATCCTTTCGATTTCATCTTTAGAAAGCCTGCCTTTATCATTAGTAATTGTAATACTTCTTACATTGCCAGAGCTCTTGTCCATAGCTGACACCTGAAGAATTCCATTGGCATCTAAGTTAAATGTTACTTCAATCTGCGGAACTCCTCTTGGTGCTGGAGGAATGCCTGTCAACTGGAATCGTCCTAGAAGATGATTGTCTTTCGTCATAGCACGTTCACCTTCATACACTTGTATATCCACACCTGGTTGATTGTCTGAATATGTAGTAAATATCTGTGAGGTTTTGCATGGAATACGCGAGTTTCTTTCAATGATTTTTGACATTACTCCTCCTGCAGTCTCTATGCCCAACGACAATGGAGTCACATCAACTAAAAGGACATCTTTGATGTTATCACTTTTATCTCCACTGAGGACAGCTGCTTGTACTGCTGCACCATATGCAACTGCTTCATCTGGATTAATTGACATGCAAAGCTCTTTTCCATTGAAAAAGTCTTTCAGCAGTTTTTGGATTTTAGGAATACGTGTAGAACCACCAACAAGGACCACTTCATTAATAGCACCCTTATCAAGTTTAGCATCTTTCAAGGCTTTCTCAACTGGCTCTAACGTGCTCCGGAAGAGATCTATACACAGTTCTTCAAATCTAGCTCGAGATATTTTAGAATAGAAATCAATTCCTTCAAACAAAGCATCTATTTCGATGCTGGCTTCGGTACTGCTTGAAAGTGTTCTCTTGGCACGTTCACAAGCTGTTCTTAGTCTTCGGAGAGCTCTTGGACTAGATCTTAAATCTTTCTTAAACTTTCGCTTGAATTCCTCAACAAAATGAGCTACCATTCTATTATCGAAATCTTCACCTCCTAAATGTGTGTCACCTGATGTAGCTTTTACTTCAAAAAGAGAGCCTTCATCTATACACAGTACAGAAACATCAAAAGTTCCACCACCAAGATCAAAAATTAAAATATTTTTCTCACCTTTCAAATTTTTGTCCAAGCCATACGCTAAAGCAGCTGCAGTTGGCTCATTAATTATTCTAATTACGTTCAGACCAGCTATTTTTCCTGCATCTTTAGTGGCTTGTCTTTGGGAGTCATTGAAATAAGCTGGAACAGTTATCACAGCATCCTTCACTTTCTGTCCTAGATACATTTCTGCAGTTTCTTTCATCTTGGTGAGAACCATGGCACTTATCTCCTCAGGGTTGAAGACTTTTTGTTCTCCTTTAAACTCCACGATTATCTTCGGTTTGCTTCCTTCTTCAATAACTTTGAAAGGCCAATTCTTCAGATCAGCTTGGATTTTCGGATCGTTGAATTTCCGGCCAATCAACCTCTTGGCATCGAAAACAGTATTTTCAGGATTCAAGGCAACTTGTGCTTTTGCTGGATCTCCTATAAGTCTCTCAGTGTCTGTGAAAGCCACATAACTAGGCGTTGTTCTATTCCCTTGATCATTAGCGATAATTTCCACGTGTCCGTGTTGAAAAACACCAACACATGAATAGGTCGTTCCCAAGTCAATTCCAATCGCCGGAACTACACCACCAGGCATCGTATTCACAGCTTATAATCGACAACGCAGAAAATATAAGACGTGTGAACAAATACAGCGTTTGACAACTGTCGCACGTTTCACTTGCAACACTGTTTACAAACAATCGATGACGTGACCTTGATTTCAGAGGTATTTATAACTTCACAGAAAGTTCCGGAAGCTTCGGGATTATTTTCTAATGACGTTATGGGTGCGTGCTGCCATCTGTGTGTCGCAATCGATGCATCTAAACATTTATGGAACAGACGTTTTACATCTAGAACATTCTCGTGTTTCATATTCAAATTTTAAAAGTTTTATGCTGCCAACTTTCAGACTCAAAACACATTAAAATAATATATTTTTTTTCAATTCAAATAAATATATTTGCTTAAATAATAAAAAAACGCCAATTTTTGTTAACAATCGTAACAATATTCCATTATTTTTTCTAAAAAATGCTGGAGGAAAAAGCAAGTGCTGCCCTGTCGTGAAGTTTCGGCAAATTTCTCGAAATTGTTTGAATTTATTTTTCTGTTACAAAAAGACTTCAGAATTTAATGCTTTTTATTTTGCTTTGTCTTTAACAGTGCTTATCCGCCAAAGTTAGTGGAGTTTTTTGTTTGACTTCTAAGAAAAAATATGCATTTTTTAATAATAGTATCTTACAAAACTCGATGCTTTTCATAAAAATATCTCAGTTAAATTATTACAGCACCAAAAATTAATGTTTCCGCGTCTAATATTTTAATCTTATAGCTATAACAGGCTTTTACATGCATTTCATAAAAAATAACAGAGTTTAATATAAATATCAATTGTATATAAGAGTAAGAAAATGAGCTGTTGAAAAGAAAGGAACACTTGTTCTTTTATCAAAAAAAATTTTAAATATGTTTCCTCTTACCACCATCCAATAGTTTATTGAATAGAAGTTCTGTTTTACATGTTTCCTTAGCATGGATTCAACTTGATGGTTAAATTATTTTTGGTCTAGTAATTTTACTTTGTTCTTCTTGTATCACTAATTTCAAATGTTTTGTAGAATTATTTTGCTGTGGAATTTTATGTTTTATTTCTTTCCAAAATATTTTAGTAAGGTCTGAACTTAAACATTTTAGTACGGTCTGAACCTAGATAAGTTTTGATTATTTCTAAAGTAATTAAAGAGTAACTAAAATTCATACATTCATATCAGAATACGTGGTCATTTTCTTGAAACAAATTCTATAAATCAAATTTTGTTCTGATAATTTTAAAAGACAAGTATTTTTAATCAGAAGCAATCAAATGGAAAATAAACAAGGGAATGTAATTTTTTTTTTTTTTAAATGGCAAGAAAAGTAACTTTTATTGGCTTAGATTTGAATACAACTGATAAAACTGCATCGATTTCAAGAACGATCAAACAGAAGTCCCTCTTCTCCAAAAGAAAAAAAAAAAAAATAATAAATAAATAAAAAAAATAAAGAAAGAAAAAGAAGAAGGAATGAAAGGAAAATACCAGTAAATTTGCTATTGATCTGTTACACTATCAGAATCCCACCAGTGAAGAATGGTTACAAAGCTTTGAATACTGGTAGTTTAACCTGGATTAGAATCCCAATGAAACGGGCTGGCTGCAAGGGGGCGTTGCGCGGTTTTCCCCATGTGTAACATTAGTGGAAGACATTTCTCTTAGCGTTAGTTAGTAGCCCTCCACGAAAGCATTCCTTAGGCAAATAACTGCCACGTGCTTTGCCCTACAAATAACCTAATCTAACGTTTCGCAGCCATTTTTAAGTGGCTACCGCTTTTATAAGTCAGATTTTTCTGCCGATAACTTTACTGTTGGCCTCTTCGACAGCACTTTATTAGCATGTGTTAGCAGTATACGCATATTTTTAAAATTCAATTAATTAAATTTCATTAATTTTTAACGGTATTAAGTTAACAGAAGAAAATTTGTATTTATTTTAATAATTCAAGGCTATTAGAGTTTCAGTAATACTTACCTCATTAAATAAAAATTCGATAAATTCGCATTAATGAGATAGATGATCCTGTCGATTCTTGCATACCTGTTCTGTGTTTGGATGTATGTTGGTAAAATGCACCACAGTCAAAGTGCTTTAAATCCCTCTTATGTTGCAAAGACTAAAGTGGGAAATCCGTAGGTAGAGTAAGTGGTAATAATTTCATAAAATATCAGTCTTTGGAGGAAAAATAATAGACCATTTCTATGTGCAATTTCCAAACTCTGAGATTTTCAGCTATGGTAATATATTCGCAGTGAGTTCATTTGAGTTTATATATTATATATATATATATATTATTTCCTAAACAGATGATTATGATAATATCTCTAGTTAATTAAAGTAGAATTTTTAATTAATCCAACTTGTAGTTATTTTACCGACTGATATATTCAAAGCCCCTACTGCCGCTAAGAATTTTCGGACACCCTACACTTCTGAGTCAGACACGAAGAGAACACATTGCCAACTACCCCACTAGAAAGAATGTAAGTTACTTAATACCATTTGTGGCCTTTATATCTTCATGTACATTCACTGATCTTATTTATATTATTTTCTATATTATTTTATATTATTTTTTATATTGTCTTTGATTTGTTTTTACAAAGTTTGCATTATTTATCTTAATTTGTAATCTTCTACGTTTATTTCAACATTACTTTGAATTCGATTTCATAATGATAATTTCCAATGTTTAATTTCTACAAATAATATAGTACTCAAATGCATAAACATGAAAGTGTCGGGGACGTTTACTGGAATTTTAAATAGAATTTCTCTACAGTAATTGATTTTTACTCCAAATTGAATTGACTAAAATGCTTCATAAGAATAAGTCCTTTGAGTATCAGCATTGGTTCAATTCCTTCTATTCGCGGAAATATTTGGCCTGACTAGAATTGCCGGTTTGGCTTTAACTTATAACTCGAGTAAAGAACGAAACACTTTCGTATTTACGTATTTTTATCAATTATTGTTCATTGAACGGGAGTTGGTTTGTTCCCCTTGAAAAGTCAACTAATTTCCGATCAATGACAATGATTACATGTTTTAATTTTTCCTTTTACAATTGAAATTTTATTCTTCATGATGGATTTAACTCCAGTCCCCGTTAAAACATTATTAACATTTTACTTTCAAATTACTTCAAAACATCTTTCAAAATATAACTTACCAGTATGGATTCACACTTTTAAAATAATTCTACTTTAATTAAACTTAGGAGATAATATAATCAATTAATCAATACTGTTTAGGAAATAAAATTATTATTAACTAACTTTGCAGCAATTGCGCAAGTAATAACTTGTATTCGCACTAAATGGATTTATCTCTTATAATATATTATATTATGATTACGCTTTTGTCCGAATAATAGATGTGAGAACAAATTGTCTAGCTTAATTAGACGTAGTCTAAAAACAGGATGCATTATTATTGGTCAGGAGAAATAGCAGTTACAAAATCAGATATCGGAGTAAATAAAAAAGAACTACTAATAATATTTTGTATGAAGGTTTACTGCTCGTGACATTTAAGAAGAAAAAGCCTCCGATATTCCTTTGGCGAGTCCTTTTATAGCCTCTGGAAAGGCGGAGCTTCCAAGAAATGACGTCAGCCTCGTTAGCCATTCCAGTTCGCTTTAAATATTCCAGAACATTCTATAACTGTACGTGTAGAAAGGCGGGAAAAGCAACTTGACTACGGGGCTATGGATTTAATTCCACGTACTTTCAAATAAAAGACCGTCGCCATTAAAAATGAAAAGAACATACAGTTAGAAATTTAAGTGTAATCTTGACTATGGAATTTTGGTCATGATGATATATATATATAATTTATTTATTTACTTTTGGAACATAGGAGGACCACTTATGATCCGCCAACCACAAATCGAGAAATGGTTTGGTTTGGTTTATTTGATTATGGCACAGCACTCAAGCGCTGTCTGGCTCCTATTTACGTTACACATGGGGAAAACCACGGAAACGCCCATGCAGCCAGCCCATTCGCGGGATTCGAAGCTCGGACCGAACCACCAGTGTTCAGCGGCTTTACCGCTTGATCGTTGGTGGGCCCAGATTGGGAAATGATGACCGAACCAATTATACCATTAGTTAATTTAAGATTATATTTTTAACATAGTATATCAATATCCAAATCATAACCTCTCCTTCCCATCTCTTGCTCTTATAATTAAGCTCCGTTTCAGAAATTTTTCTTCAAATCTTTTGCCATAGTGTAAATTGCCCACTATAACGAAGGCTATTGAATGAACTTCCATCAGTATTCCATATATTTCGAAGAGGGGAGCAGTTTCTTACCCTTTCACTAGTGTAGAATTTTTGCCTTGGCAGCCGCCCATTATATCCAGCAGATTGCATATTTTAGCAGTCTCCGGGTTGATAGATACTCCATACAATTAATAACTTTTTCCTGTAAGTATGAGAACATTTATCTTTCGATCTTTTTAATGTTTGAAATAAAAATATGTCGAATACTTCAAGACAGTTTTGATGGTTTCTTAGTCTATTTTCATTCTGAATTTTGTCATGATTTGAATAAGATTTTATTGTTTCAAAAATCGTTAAATAATTTAAATTAACAACTTCAACAACATTTCTCCTTCTCTAGTTCCAAATTAAAAATTAATTACGAATTTTTAATCCTTTGGTTTCATCCGCGAACTTCCTTCAGTCAACCAAGATTGGAAATAGGAAGTAGGAAAAAAATTAAAACAACGATTCGAAAATTTCAGATACAAAGTCTAATATCTCGAAGAGTTTATCATTAAAGTTTCGAAAAGTTAATACTTAAAAAATGTAAAAATCATAAACTTTTCAGAAACTACAAACTAATGTTTGTATGTTGATTCCATTTTAGAGCCTAAAATAGTTTTAAGTTAATCAGTTACGATTAACTTATTATTTAAAAAATTAATTTCCCTGGGATTTAAAACGTGGGACATAAAATTGTATATTTAAAATGAACTGTTAAAAATAGTAATGATCGTAGAAACCTTTGCTCAGAATCAAGAAGTTCCTTCCTAACTCGCCTTCTTCTGTTCCTTAATTAGAAAAGCACCTTCTTTTAAAAATAGTGATTAATTGGTTGATTTTCAAGGACAAATTCATAGTAAACAAATCCTTTGCAACCCAAAAATGGGCAAAATCATGGTGAATAAATTCGTTATAATCAAGAAATGCAATCAATAGCACCTTAGCCTTTGATTTCGATATCCGTGCCTTTTTTT